CAGTGGCCTCTTCCATCTTCAACACACTCAACTCCTTGGTGAGTCCAGACAGGGCGAGCCACACTGCAGAAACTCAGACTTTCAGTAATGTCTTCTAAGCAAGATCTACATTTTGTTCTCCTAAGTCCAGTGTGGTCCAGCAGGCCTCCTACCTCTCTCGGCTGTGCTATGTGGAAGGTGATATAGTTTCCAAGTCCCAGCAGAGCCTACAATGGAGATGGAACGCCAGGCTCCGAGCTTCAGCACAGCCCATAGACCTGGTCTGGCCATGCCACCTACCCACAGGGGAGGCTGGAAAGTGGAAGGGCGAGACACACAATTCTGTTGTGTCATAACTGTTGACCACTTGCTCCTCTCCTTACGTCATCTCCCGTGTGGTATATCCTAACAGCTCTTCTAACCCATTCTTAACTCTTTCTTCTCTTCTACCTTTAAAATACAGCCTCCTCCATTCCCTCTCTCAGCTGCCTTTTCTCTCCCTGAATTTTTGTGCATCCTCACATCTTCAGCAATCACTTCCAGGTGAACGAGCCCATCTAAAATTACTTCCCTTCCCTAACACAGAATTGCTCAAACCAGCTTTCTTTTTCTTCAGAGTGCTTATCTGTCATCTACCCATGCTTTATCTGTCCCTACCCATGCTTTTTCTGTCTCTTTCCACTGAAATGTAAACTTGATGAAATTAAACCTGACTGTTTTATTCAGTTCTGCATCTTTCATGCCTAAAACAGCAATGGTTTAGAAATCTCCTCTCAGAAGCATATTTTCAACTTTCTGTTGGGACCTGAAAGTCAGGGAGGATCTAGGTCAAGAAGGATCTGAATATTTTATTTCATGACCTGGTAGACTCTTCAAACAGAAATCCTGTCCTTTTTTTTGGATTGGTAGTTGTCAGACATTTAGAGAAAAAGTTAACATTTACAAAAATATAACGTTCAGTCACGATAACCCAGGCATGAAAGGTATACTGTGTTCAGCTCTACTTTAAAAGTTGGTTTTCTAGTCATCCTTTTAGGAGTTCCATTGTCTGGCATTTTCATATCATAAGGTGCCTCAAATCCTTTCCGGAAGGAGGGAAACCAAAATTATTAACTGTAGCTCTCTGCCTTCCTGAAAAATCCTATTCAATCTTTGATGTCCATTTTCCTCAGTGGCTCCAGAAAGGATGGACCACTTCCACTTTGATATGCGCCTTCTTCCTGTTTGCACCACTATGAGAGTTCTGATGTCCTCCATCTGTGAATGACATGGTGTTTGCCAATTTTCTAGGCTAGAGGTCCTCAAAGGGCCCTGAAGCCTCACATTGCCTGCTGTGGAAGGCTTCAGCACATGTTTGTTACATGAATGGTGCATACATTTTGATCTGGGCTTCCAAAACCTTCTTGGGTGTCCCTAACAACTGTGAAGAAATCCAACCCTCTTTCCATAGTGTACACCCTCCTACAGCCCAGATCTTCCAAGGATCAAAGTCTCAGGGTCTTCTTCAATTCCTTGTCCAACATCACCCTGGTTTTGATCAGGTCCTATCTATTCCGGCTCCAGCATGTCTCCTCTTCTCTCAGAAGCCACCAACATACTCCTAATCCAGACCTTCCTCTCAAGGGAGACAGGGCAGCAACTTTCACTCCATCTTCTCTCCTCACTTCCTCCCCTCCCAATTTGATGAAGCTTGTCAAACAAGCAGAGTACCCATTAACCTGAAGGTGCAAAAACCCAAACAAGGTCTCTCCCTTTCAGATGTTTTACAGTCTTGCATGGAAAAAATGCACACATCAACTGATTGTTTACACTTAGTATAGACAGAGGCATGAGCAGGCTGCGAGGAGAGCCAGAGGAGCACTGTCTAAAGGGTGAGTAGGGAACGGTGCTCAAGGACCCACTTCCTACAGCCCAGCTCTGCTCTCTAGACTGATGAATGCTCTGCATGGCTCACCAGCAACAGAAAAATGCCCACGTTCTGGCTTACAACACTCACAGTGCAACTTCAACCTGCTCTTCCAGATTTGCTTCATGGGCCCTGTGTCCCGGACTACCAAATGATCAGATGAGCTCCGGCCTGCTCAGAGGTACCTGGAGGAGGACCAAGTGGAGCTGAAATCCCACTCAGTGCTGCAGAACTGTGTTTGTCCAGAGGCAGCACCTCTTCCTAATGCACACACTCTTTCAGGGTGAGCAACAGCCCTGCCTAGGCTCTGCTCACAGGACCTGTAGTGCCTGCTCCTCAATCTCGATCCGGTGACACCTCACTTTGGGTCACACTCACACAAGACCTCTTCTCAGAGCTTCTCCGGGTCCCCCAGGCCAAACAACTCGCTCCCAACTCCAGGTACCTCTCTAGGTTGTACATCACCCCCCTCGACACCCTGCCTCATGCTCCAGCCATTTGCATCCATCCACGCACCCTTAGCAGCACTCCAAGGACAGAGGCCTCTTGGCTGTTGCTATGTCCACCACAGCACCCTCCACTGATCCCAACACAAAAGTGGTCTTCAAAATATATCTATGGAACATAATCCTGCCATCCAGGAGTGAAGCCAAGTACCTTCCTTCATGGGGGTAATGCTGAGACCCTTATCTACTCATTCACTTAATAGAGACTCACTGCCTACTTGGTTTACATGCCCACGTCTCCCATAGATAGTGCGATCTTCTCTATGTCTGTGAGGTGGGGTAGGTCTCCGGTGATGGGGGACAATCTAGCACATAGCCACATACTCTCCTCTCCCTGGGACATCCTTCCTCCTTGGCCCACATCCTTTGATCAACTCGTTTTCATCCCCCACCTGCCTGTCACTGCCTCAAAGTGGCATAGACTATATTCCTATAGAATACAGTCGATAAGTTGTTATTAACTATTTTTGTGTTGTTCGTTATAATGAAGGCCCTAAGTCTTCACACTTCCTGGTATCCATGTCTCTTGCCATGAGAGTTTGCCTTTCTTTAAAAAAACAGACAAACAAACAAACAAAAAAACTAAAACTAAAGAAGTAGAATATACTTCTCCAACCCTTAACTTTAGGCTGGCTTGGGGAGCTGATTTGACCCATAAAATGAGGTGAAAGATGCCCTGGGAAGCCTTCTATATTTCTACTAGCATCCCTAGGATTCTGCTATCATCACAAGCGCATGCCTAGATCAGACTGTTGAAAGACGGGAGGCAGGTGAAGTGGTGCAGACTCATTCCACTCATCCCAGCACTTTAGACCACCAAGACCTATGAGGAAGCTCAGCCAAGATCAGCACAGCCACAGAGATGAAGCTATGTGCATGAACAGTAAACACTACTGCATGCCACTCTAGCTGTGGTCACTTGTTACACAGCAGCGCCTATCTGCTACTTTAAATTACTGTTGGTCAGACCCAGACTATAAACTCCATGAAAGAGAAACAGTATCTTTTTGTTGTTGTTGTTCAGAAATGACTTACATACAGCAGGTGCTCAGCAAATATGTGAAGGATGGCGTATTCCTGCTGTGTGAGGCTGGTCACTTGCTCACCTTCCGCTGTCTCTTTTGTATGGGGGAAGCCTGACTTCAAGAATGACCTTCTAGATCTTACAAGATCAGACTCTGAATTGTCTTTTCCTTCCACCCCTGACCACAGAGCTGCCTTAACCTGTAGCTAGACAGAAGGGGAGCATCAACATCTATGTTATGGTTGATACACTGTGTCAACTTGAGGAGTCTGGAAGCTTAACTAAATAACTCAGCCATTCTACATCCTGGGGTGAAAAGGACACACCCTTCCAGCTCTAGGATGTTGTTCATTGTGTCAACTTGAGAATTTTAGAAGGTTAACTATGTGACTCAGCAGGGAGCCAGGGTGCTTACTTTGTATACATCCTGAGCCTGTGCAAGCTGAGGGCATGGAGATGGTGTGGGTGTGGGCAGATAGCTTGCATTCACTATAAGGAGGAAAAGAGGTTGCTTCCCCTCTTTTTACTCTTGTTGCTTTTGCTGTTTTCTGCCCTCTTATACTGTTGTCCCTGCGCCCTGCCACCCTGCCTTGGAGCCAGCTGATTACAGACCGAAACCTCCACGAACTGTGAGCTAAATAAACCCTTCCTTCCTTAATTTTGGGCGTTGGGTATTTTGTCCGAGCAACAAGAGAAAAGTAACCTAGACAATCTAGAAGATATCTCAAAAAGTATATTTGATCCCATCTCATCTTGAAAATGTCCCACATGTCCACGAACCTTCCCATGAGCGAGGACATAAATGCTTGTGTACTTTAGCCCAAAATACAGTCCTCATTTTACCTCAGCTGCTCAGACCCGACTGCTTCGTTCCTACAAGCCACTGACGCACACAGTATGTGCACAGGATGGGGAACGAAGGAAGAAGACACCCCCGCGAACCCTCAAATAACGGCATCTAGGAACAAGCTCAGCAGGAGAACAGGTGCTAGCAGGGCCCTCCCAGGCAGATGGAGTGGGGGCGTCCCGGGAAACGCTTTCACAGGGCAGCCCTGCAACCACCGCCTGGGAGGGATCTCGGGCTGCTTCAGAAGCTCAGTGTAAGTTGAAGAGACTGTAGGAGGAGCATCACAAAGCTCTTTAAACACCTGTCCCTGAAAGAACGGTACCGTGGCGGTGGGGAGAAGCCATCGCTGTCATTTTCCAAAGCGAATGATGGAACATGAAGCAGGCTGTTTCCCCTGTGGTTCTCACTACAAGAATTTCCTAAGGTAAGACAGATGAGCACACGGCCACTGAGTCAGGTAACGCCTACCATAGGCAGCCCCGGCGCTTGGTAAGTTGGAGGGAGAGAAGGGCTCTAGTGGCCCTAGGATTGGGAAGTCTGCTGGGAAGGAAGTCAGAAGAATCTGGGACAAACCTGTTGACCCTACTCTCCCACCACCGGGGAATGGAATCTTCTAGACTCTGCCTGACCTTTCTCGGTTTGCCTCTCCCAGGTGCACACCCCACCCCAGGGATCACAGATCTATTTAGCTGGAAGTTCTTTTCTGAGTTGGCTCCTACGGTCCAGCTTGCTCATGACCTGGGTGATGTCCACTGTGTTGGCTGCTTCTCGAGCTTTGGCTTCCTCTTCCAGTTGTCTCAGGATGACAGGGCTTGGGCTGGAGCGCAGGTGACGTCGCATAAACGGGAGGCTGGAGCTGCAAGGAAAGGCAGGTTGGTGGCCGTCAGCAAACCACGTCCCTTGCCCAGTGACACTGGTGGGAGCTGAGGCTGGAAGGCCAGCATCCGGATTTGGCCCCTCGCTTCACCAGTGAACCCCAAGTAGGGTCCTCAGAGCTATGTCTCCAACCTTAGCTCTTTTCTCCCCAACTTGGAGGACGGGACCAGGGTGAGCACAGTTTGCCATCAGATTGCAAGTAGGCACAAGGAAAAGGACTCTTTGGATGGTGACGATGACAGACGCCTTCTACAACGTTTAGAAGCCAGTTTTTTGTGGAGAAGGACATTCTGTAGTCCACCTTTCAATGTATTACCTATGTGGGACTTGGAGCCTGACCAAGCCATATGATTGTTTGTTTCTGGAGGAAGTCTAGCAAAAGCATTAGTGTGAAAGGAAATGAAAGCAGGACCTTAGTCCCTGTGGAAAGCCGCTGGGGCAGCACCAGATGCTTTGCTGAGATATGCCTGAAGGAATGATGATATGATGGCAAGCTAAGTCACAGGTCAGTTCTTGCGATAATTAAGCTACATTGCCCTTGCTAATCCTGTTACTGATTCCTCCCATCTCCCCTGTTCTTGCTTTTTGTATGTATCTCAATAAAAGACTAAAGAAAATTGTAATCAAGGCTTCAGTCCTGGAGGCTGTAGCCCCCTGACCCCATAACTTTGTCTGTCTTGTTTTTCTTTTCATCCACTGCACCTCATTCTCGGGACCTGTCACCCCACACAGAAAGCGGCCATACACTGACAATTTGTCATCTTAATATCCTGAAAGATCTCCATGAAAGAAGGAGCCCAGGAAGGCTGGGGTTATGGAAGCTCAGCATTCCAGCCCAGAGGAGAGCTGAACTATTTGTTTTCAAAAGCCAGACCCTAGGAGGGCACAAAGAGCTGTACTGTCCGAGATAGCAGGGTCCCAATGTGCAGAGAAGGAGGAAAGGGCTTGAAGAGGGGTGGTGACCTGGTCGTACACAGTGTCTTGGGATGAGTCAGAACCTTCTTCGGAAGCCAAACTCTCTACCGTGTCCTCAGGAACCAAGACTAAGTTTAGGTGTCCAAGTGAGCCAGGAGAGACGGAGGAGCTGAGACACCTGCCTTTGAGGACACAGATGGCCCTGGGAACCGAGCATCTTAATAGCAATGACAGACTGCAGACTCGAGACCTACCCAAATTCCTGGGCTGCATAACCTCCTAGGACTCTCGTACCTACCCTAGGGAGGTGGGTGGTTCCCCTATCAGGAAGCATCACCTGATAAGGCATGTCCCACAGTCCTGCCAAGGGGAAGACTTGGAGTGCAGGCTTAACTTGTCCTGGAGAAATTAAACTTGGATACACTGTCTTACACAAGAGCCATGGAATAAACTCACACCCACTGCAATCCCTGCCTGGATGCAGATCAAGCCTTGTCCTGTACAGAAGCGCACACAGGTGACTGTCACTCACCGGTAGTGATGACGACAGCCCTGGGCTGCATCAGGCCACACCAAAGCCAGCGTGCCAGGTGGTCCCTGCCACCCCAGGCCCCCAGAGCCCCGGCTGAGTCTGGGAAGGACCCCAGTTGAATTCTCAGGGGCACTGAGACACCTCCCTCTGCCCCCACCGCCTTCTGGCAGGACGTCTGAGGCTACTAGAGTTCTCTCTTGTGGCTTAAAGGAGAAGCTTTCAAGTCCCCGGGGATACTGAACTCCCTTACTCGGTAAACCTAGAACACCACCACAAAGAACTCCTTTCTCTCTAGTTCATAACAGCGCCATTATCCTCAAGAATGAAAACAAGTGGGGTTTTTTTCTTAAGCTCCTTTGAAAAAGGCTCTGGTCCAACTGCCTCCTTTGAATCGGCTGAAGATGCTGGAAAGCTGCCCAGCACGGGCTCTCTAGGCATTTACTAACCACAGGGACAGGGCACAGGGCGGGCGGTGCTTTGAAAAGTCTCCGCCAGAGTCTTATGACTTCGTTCAAGCTGTCATTTGTCTACTCTCTGGAATCTTCAGCCCCTGTATCCCTCCTAGGGAAAGGGTTCGGTTTGTTTGGCCAATGTTAGATCACTTGTTGTCTCAATGGCTCTAAAAAGTGAGATGATGTACATTTCCAACAAAAAGGAGAATGAACGGATTGATGGGCTTCTATTGGGTAATTCCTGAGTTAGTAAGAACACTTGGGATGTTATTCTTCCTTTCCTCTAACAGCCTAGCATTTTCTCTAGAGTACAATTTGCTATCCTCTCCAAGGGACTGCAAAAATGCAGATATAAGAATGTAGCTAGCCAGGCTTGGTGGTGCACACCTGTAATCCCAGCACTCTGGAGGCTGAGGCAGGAGGATCATTGTGAGTTCGAGACCAGCCTGGGCTACAAAGTGAGCTCAAGGCCAGCCTGAACTGCATAGTGAGACCCTGTGTCAAAAAAGACAAAAAAAAAAAAAGAATGTAGCTAAATGAAGTCCTATTCATCAATTTAGGGGTGGAGAAGAATAGCAATTAAGAAAAAACAGTGAGATGTTTCCATTTGTGATAAGGGTGATTATTGGTCTGGTTATCGGAACTTTTTTTGTTGTTGTTGTTTTTTGGTCTTTTTGACACAGGGTCTCATTATGCAGTTCAGGTTGGCCTTGAGCTCACTTTGTAGCCCAGGCTGGTCTCAAACTCGTAATGATCCTCCTGCCTCAGCCTCCTGGGTGCTGGGATTACAGGCGTGCGCCACCATGCCTGGCCAGAACGCTTTCAAACCAGCATGAAGGAAACAAAACTCACTGGAAGCAATCACTCAGGAAATCTTACTAGCATAATGTCAGGCCATTAGGAAGAAATGAGACGCTATGCAATACTTCCTGGTTCCCAATACTGTCATCAAGCAAATATCAGTGGTAGCCACTTGGCTGGAAGAAACCCTGGCTTCTCAGTAAACTAAACAGCAGGCAGCAGCAATGACGGACGGTTCCACTTGCCTCCTCTTGGTGGTTTCCTGGGGCTCGATAGCTTTGGCCAGCATTTCCTTATAGATCGGGGACTTTAAATAGCGAGCATAAGAATCCTGGTGAAAGCAAGAGAAAAACTGATTATGAGAAGGAATAAATATGCCCGTCACCCTCACGCCCTCGCTGGGGGGCAGAATGCAAAGGGCAGATCCGTCCCCTTGCCTGAAAGATGTCGGGGGAATGTGGAGAGCAGTTGCTCTCAGGGGTGGGTCCCCAGCCGGGCTCAGTGTCCCTGGGAACTTGTTAGCAATGCGGTCTCTTATTAGTAATCCAGGACACCATCCCCATCCTGTATCATCTGCAAGCCAAAGAATGGCACAGCCAGGAGCTTCAACACCACAGTCTCCACCTTACACACCAAAATCCTCCTCAGAGATGTTTGCCGTGTCATGAAACCAGCAAGAGACCAGAGGACGTAGCCTGTCCCACTGAGAACCATCCCCCAAGGAAACAAGGACCCTGCATGTGGAGCTCTCTCCTGATCCCACCGGCAGTCCTTCCTGCCTTGTGTTCTGGGTACAAAAGCAAAGAAATACAAGAAAAGAGACAACAAGACCGTGAGTCCTCCCTGAGACGTTTCCTGGGACCCTGGGCAGGGTCTGGGAACTGTCTTTCCAAACGGTGCTACTTCCGGCTATGTCCGAAGACTCCTGTCATAACAAAGACAGGACAGACCCCCCTGCAACAACACAGGGACTGACAAGAGTCTTAAAGATCGACTGAAACAGGCTGAGCCTAAAGACTAAGTGTGGCGGTTACAATAATGAGACCGAAGACAGAGTCTGGGAATAGGGCTAAGGGAGGCAGAGTCATGGTGAGCTCCTCGCTAGAGTCCCTGGCCTGGAGGGACCCGGTGTACCATAAGCACGTACATCACTCTTCGTATCCATTATCTGTGACTCTGCTGTTCTGGCCAGCAGCCGGCCTCCCTGTGCATCTCTCAAAAGACTGTGAAAACTACATTTTTAAAAAAATAATAAAACACATTTAAGGAGGACTGTCATTAAAGAGGCCATGCTGTGGATGTGCTAGTAAGGAAAACACAGAGAAACCCTACCGATGGAAAAAATAGTAAGAAATGACTAATTCAGCTTGCTGAGACTTCTAAGGAGTTCTCTGTTTCATCAGTAAATGTATTTCCTTATAACACACAAAAGACTAACTCAAAAAAAAAAAAAAAGAAAAACACAAGGGACAATCACAAACATGTGCCAACCCCACCAACTCACGTTACATAACAAAGCTGGCGGAGCACTTTGCCATAAAAGGCATCACTGCCCCAGTGAGAAGTCAAAGCGTCAGAAGGGAGCCTGGTCAGGGTAGTGCAGGGCAGGGACCTAACTAGGTGACCTCCCTTCCCTGAGCCTCCAATCCTAATTTCCTAGGAAAGTGACTGATTTTCTCTCAGGTTCCCTTTATTTTATTTTTAACAATTCTTATCACAGTCACATTTTAATAATCCAGAAGGCAACCTGAACTCTCATGGAGTTGTACTACAGTCACACCTAGTTTCTCTCTTTTATTTTTTTTTTTTTATTTTTTGTTTTTTTTTTTTTGGTTTTTGTCCGGTACCGGGAACTGAACTCACGACCTTGCGCTTGCCAGGCAGGCGCTTTGCCGCTGAGCTAAATCCCCAGCCCCTAGTTTCTCTCTTTTAGACACTAAACCTTCCCTATGTCATACTTGCCCAGGGCCACAAGAACTGCCACCAACATGCACAGCACCGGCCCAGGGCATGGTCTCTGGGCTCCATTAGCGTAGCAGCTGGAACCCCATTGCCTGTAGAGGATCATGGCCACCCTCGCTGGTCTCTTTGAGGACAAAGTTCCATGCTCTGCACAGTAACTGCAACTAATAAGCCTTCAACAAGTGACAGCTATTACTAATTCTCCCATTGCTGACATGCTGATAGTCCCTGCAGCTCTCCTGCAGAGTGAGGGGGCCCCGCGATGCAGACAGCTTCTGCAGGTGTCTCCACACTCCGGCCCAAGGAGGACCCCGACAGGTGACAAGTGGAGACAACAGCGCCAGCTTTGCATCCCAGCACCAGCAAAGCGGTATCCACGTGTCACCCCGCTCTACTGTACCCGAAGAGCTTCCCAGGTAGCCAGGGAGGGAAGGACCTCAGGCCCTGTGCGTGGGCCACACGGACCCACCCCACTCACTTTCTTCATGAGCATGTAGATGTGGGTCTGCGCTGCGTCCAGCACATAGCGGTGGGGGTGCCTCAGTCCTTTTACTGTGATGTCCATGGTTTTGCCATCGATGTTGATCCACCGCCTTGCCCCCGGGGCCAGGAACAGTCTGCAGAGCGACAGAAGTGTTTGCAGAAGAAGTTACGTCAAGTGCACAGCTGCATAGGAAAGAGGGATTCACGTAGCAGGTGCCCCGGGATGAGGCTGACCTGTCTTTTGGGAGACACTAAGGAGTCTGTAGAGGCTGTTAAGTGGCTTTTCCTAGAAGCAAGAGAACAGCCACACCAGGGCTGAGAATGAGCGTGCTCAGCTGTTCCCAGGCTCTAGGAGACAGACCAAAATGTCCGTAGGTCCGAGCCAAGAGGGTGAAGAATCCACTTCCATCGTAACCCCTTCTGCCTATTTATTCACCCAGATTCAGAGACCAGTTTGGAACCGGCAGGCACCTGCTCGCGCACCTGCACCAGAAACAGGTGTTCTGGGGCCTCTGCTCGCCCTTGGCCCTGTCTAACGGGGTTTGGTGATGGATCTTCAACCCTGAGCTGGGGCAGAGGTGTGGCCCCGGGCACCCAGACCAATGGCCCCAAAGACGGCTGTGCTTTCGGAGTCCTGTGACTCGACCTGGGGCCGGGGCCCAGGAACCTCTGCCAGTACCCTAACTCTTAGTTTTCCCAGCTTACAGATTCGCGGATATTCTCCCACCCTCCGCAGATATACATGAAAATGTGGAATTTCAACTAAGGCTTCCCTAGGTGGGCATCTAGGGAGGAAGGTGGTTAAAGTTGCCACAAAACCAGCAAGGTCCCTTGCTGCAGGAGTTTGACATTAGGAGTTGTCCACGGATCCCGAGCACAGCAGCTGCTGTGCCCGTTGTTCTGGGGAAGGCTGACGTTTGACCTTCCCAGGCCGGAGTCCTCCCCCACCGGAATCCCTTTGCCGGGCTCTGGGGGCGCAGGTCCCTCCCTGTGGCAGGGGGTGAGCAGGACTCCGAGAGCACAGGAGTCTCCGAGATGGGTACTGCGGCCTCAGCTGTTCCTGTCTGGGTGGTCCAGTCTGAGAACTGGCACGGTCCCTCCCGGTCCAGGTGCGGCGGGACACCGGAGGGAGGAAGGCTGAGTTCTCAGCAGGGAGTCGGCTGTGAGAACCGGTTGCAGCCAAGCGCAGCTTGGGCTTCGGGAACCGCAGGGCAGCTAGGAGCACAAACGGTAATCTCTTCGGCCTGCCAAGTCCAAGACTGCTGTCCCCTGCGGCCACGGGGATCCCACACAGCAGGGCCTGGGCCCACCAGGCTCCGGGGAGAAGTGGTGGTGGGGAGTGTGGGTTTCCACAGGCCTGGTGGCCTCCTCCCACCTTCCTGCGCCCTCCCCTGGCCATCAACAGAAGGGTAGAGCCTTCTGAATGGAACCCTTGGATCTGGAGTCATTGGAAGGAGGGGGAGACTTACTGCTGCAGGAGCAGTGAGAGCCCGGAGTGAGAAATAAGAGACGCGCCCGCACTTGTACCCCAGACTGGGCTTGCTGCCCCTTTCCCTCCCTCGCTGCCTTCTTGTCTCTAACGTGGCGCGTGGAATAGGTTCTCCCGCTCTTGTCACTCTTGTCTCTGCCTCTTTTTGCACCTTACAGGCATGCACGCGTGCGCACAAGCACGTGCACACACATGAGCTAATGCACCTTGCGCTACATTCAGGACAATTTGCTTTTGTTAGTCTTATGCGCATTCCCACCAGAGCAGGGACCCCCTAGTTTATCTCACCAGCCTGCCTCCAGAGGGACCCTCAGGCCTTCCAAAGCAGCATGGGGTCTTCACGGCGTGGCAGGCGCAGTGCCTCACGCTGACCGGGACCAGGCTGGCCAGGCATGGGGAATGTCCCCTCTGCAGCCCCACACACGGGAAGGGACGCTCAGCAATCCGGCTGATCCTTACTTGTAAATCTCCTCTGCTTTCTCCTTGACCTTGGACTGATCTCCATACTTCAGATCCTCACAGGCTTCCCAGAATCCCAGATTCTCCCCTGCACGGGGAGGAGAGGGCCACACGGACAAAAACCAGGCAGGTACAAGCGGAAAGAAGAGAAGACGGGGTAAAAGAAATAGGTCAGCTGAGATGGTGCGGCTTGGTGAGCATCTTCCCTGCAAAACAAACCACTGCACACGGCGATATCGGGGCTGGGAGAGCACCTGGAACCCAGTAGTGGCTACAAGTGCCGGTATCCTTTGAAATAAAGTAGGTTGGAGAACATCACGTTTGCTGCAGTACATTCACAGTGAAAATACTGTGTTCTCCTCCAACAGTACACACATCAGAGCTCATAATAACTCCCCCCACACATCAAGAGGCTGCCGCATTATTTTTGCCCTACAACTTATCTACAGCAAATATAAAAATTTATCTGTAGCAAATATAAAAAGACATGTGACCAGGCTCATAAGCACGGATTACAGTGCCCCAGGCTTTTTTCCTAAATGACTGCGTGACTTCTGCCTCCTTTGTTGGTGTGCGGAGAGCCTACCTGCTGCCGCCCCTCCCCAGCCCAAGGGTCCTTCCAGGATCCTTCCATCCCTCAGGGGTGACAGTGAGGGACAGACCTCAGGGAAGGCCTGGCCACAGGGGAGATTTAACTGAGTGTCACAAAAGCCAGCAACACACTGCTCCTGTGTGCACACAAGGAAAGTCAGACCCCTCAACTCAACTTACAATAAATGTCCAGAATAGGCAAATGTATAAAGATTGAAAATCCATTTGTGGTTGCCCAGGGTTGGGGTCAGGGGCAGACAGCAGCGGGAAAGAAGTGGGGGAAAGGGAGGAACAGGAAATGACTTCTAATGGGCAAAAGCATTCTTTAGGGGTGGCACAGTAGTTCTGGAATTAGATAGTGTTGATGGATGCTGACTTAGTGACTATATTAAAAAAACACAACTGTACACTTTAGCAGGTGAATTTCACCTTATGTGGATCACAGTTTCAGATTTTAATTAAGTGAGTAAAGTGATGAGTCACCTGCCCTTTTCATATCTTAGTCATCATAAGCATACTGTCCATAATATAGTTTTAATAACACAGGGAAATTTTTTTCGGGATTCTCATTTATTTCTTAAGGACAGTCGGGTGAAACAGGCTCAGGGTGTAGTTTGTCATTTTGCCACTAGATGGCACCATCCTCACTTCTACACCAGCCAAAACTACGGGTACTCTTTCCCGCCGTCTGTTCTGGGGTTTATTATATTATGGCAATTAGGCCTGATTAGGGAGAAAGATTTTCAACAATCCATATTATGATGTAATGTTCTGCATCAGCCAACTCTACCAAAGGCATGGCCAGTAGGATTTGTTTCAGGAGCAATTCCACAGAGAAACAGGGCTTGCGTAGTAGGCAGCTGTCTCAAAGTTCAACCATGAAGTCCCTCCGGGGCTAGGGACTCCATAAGCAGCAAATAAACCCCATAAAAAGAACTATTTTAGCAAAGATGCTGAAGCCAATTGAATGTGTAGCCTAGCAAAACTGGTTCTAGTCCTGCCTCTTGGTTCTCCCAGACGTTTTTCAGTGCAGTATATTTTATGTAAGAGGCTACAAGTCCCCCCTGTGATGAGAAACCCAGGCTAGGACATAAAAATTTCCCCTACCCACGCCATTAAAATCCACACCCTCTTGAGGCCCCCAAAGGAATGAGGCGGGGAGCTAAGGCAGTGGTTCTCAGGCATGGCCACACTGCACAGTCACCTGGGGATCTGTCCAAACTTAGAGCTTCCAACCCAAAGGGATCTCTGGGGATAGGATCCAGGCCAACATGTGTTTTCAAATATCCCCCAGGTGACCTGAATGTGCAGCGCCACTGAGCTGAAGACAGGCTGGGAGTCAGAAAGGGAAAGTCCGTCTTCTGTACATCTCATCCCTTCAACTTTCCTGAAAAGCCCCACTTGGAGGCGGGGGTGGGAGGAGCAGGACCCTTTGGGTGATAAAGACAGGGCAGCCAAGACAGGATGAAGCCCTCAGAAATGCAGGGACACTAATATGGATTTTGTTAGTGGATACAATTTTTCATCAGTCCGTGGGGCCTCTTTGAGCCAATGCAAAGAACGAGTCCTAGACCCAGGTATGGCTCTTAATGCTATAAAAGAGGAGGCCCTGTTTAAGAGCTTTTACCAAAGCTACGGAAACATCCACTGAGCAAACCCTAGGCTAGACATCAAGGAAGTGTAACTAAAAGTAAAATTTTAAATTAAAAACAATTAAGAACACCCACCACTGAATTCTTTCTTCAGAAAGTACTGGAAGCTCTGCCGACCCTTGGGATCTCGGATCAGTTCACTGAAGTTGAAGGCCCAGCGTTCCACCCGCATCTTGGTCGGGATTTCCACCCTGCAAGGACAATGATTCGTAAACACAGCTCTCCAGAAAGCCAGGCAGGACCAAGTGATGGCCTGGGTAGGGGTGAGGGACTGTAGCCCCACACCAACCTCCACCAGTCCCACACCCCAGGGCTCCGCTAGTCCTCCTCCTCCTCCTCCTCCTCCTTCTCCTCCTCCTCCTTCTTCTCCTCGCAATCCCAACGCACAGTCCAAGCCACACTTGCTCAGAAGATGTGGCCTCAGACACGTCCCTCCTGCTCACATCCAGGAAATGAGCTCTCAGAGGTAAGGGCTCCCACGGTTGGAGCTACACACTCAATCCCTGCTCCTCTAGCCTTCGGGGAGAAAGAACTCAAAGGTCCCCTTGAACGCCTGGAGACCATCCTGCAAAGGGTCATGCTGCCATCATGGGCCAGGAGACAATTCTAGAGCAGCACTGGTGGTAGATGCCGTGGCCTCAGCCACCAGCCAGGCACCCGCCTGCTACCCAGGGAGGCTGCTCCTTCACCATGAATATTCATGAATGTTCATGGCAGCATTTTTCATAACAGTGATAAGTCATAAATAGGTAGACAGACGAGCAACACGCAGTATATCCACACGGTGACTACGACTCAGCCATAAATAGAAACGAAGTTCCCATGCATGCTGCCCACGGATAAACTTTGAAAGTACTATGAAAAGCAGAAAAAGTTAACAACAAAACACCACATATTGTATGGTGCCTTCTATGAAAGCTCTGGAACAGGCCAATCCATAGAGACAGAAAGTAGACGGATGAGTAGTTGCCTAGGGCTGGAGTAGGGGGCTTTGTGGGGTGATAGTTAAAGGGTTTGAGATCTGTTTGGGGGTGACGAAAATATTTTTAAACTACTTGTAATCACTGCGCTACCCAAGGAATGGAGTAAAAAACCATTGTTTAAATGGATAAATTGTGCGGCACGTGCATTACAATGCAAAAAGCAATAATAATAAACTCCAATGCATTAAATACGTACAGCTTGGCATTTAAGTCCCAAAACTGGGTGTCATCTGTTATCCAAGGGTTGCTAGGAAGGCAGCCTGACATGATGGCGTCGTTGGAGGAGAACTGCTCGCTATACTTGACGATCCTGAAATGTAAATGGAAAATGATTTCCTGGAAGCTCAGCACCAAGAGACGAGGTGACCGCTCGAGCTAATGCCCTCTCCTCCTGTACTGATTGAGTCCTACACTGCACGTACTATGTCTTAGGAAAACATTCTAACAGCCCCCGGGAGTGGCGCTATTTGGCAAGATCCATCCATATTCTACTCGTGAAAAAAGGGCTTCCTCTCAGTCCAGCCCCTTTGTCATGTACGTCTCTGTCCGTAGTTCATTAAAATGTGTTCACACGTTTATTAGGAGATTTTGAACCTCAAAGCTGACTCGGTTTGCCCGTGTCTTGTTGGCTGTCTCCTGTTGGAAGCGTGAGGTTGCCGCAGCATCGCTGAGACGTTGCCACCGAGCTGGGTCTCCCCCTTTTCAGGATAATGCCTAGGTCTGGGGCAAAGGCAAATTCCCTCAAGTGAAGTGGGATCTTCTGAGTTATGCTGTTTCCTGACGTCTGAGAATCGAGGAAAGCCTGCTCCCCTGGTGGTGAATGGTTTCCCCAGGGTGCAGAGAAGGCCCTGCCCAGTCTGTCTTTGGCCTCGGATTCGAATGGAACAGGATTCCTGGCCCAGAGGTAAACCAGAGCCCTGAGTCTGCAGGCCGTAGGCCGCCCGGCTTCACCTCTCTCATGATGCTCGCATTCATCAATCGCCCATGAGTGGAAGGCAGAAACACTGGTCCAGAAGTCCAGACATTACTGATGTAAAATTATGCTAATGAGGCCCCGAGACAATTTTTCCAAAAGGGGAAAGTGGGTCTAGGATGTATCCAGAAGCTTTCAGGTCACCTTCAATTTTCTTTCCATTTGGTTCCACTGTTTCAGAGTAAACCATTCTGAGTTCACCACGGGGCAGTAATTCTCACCATCATCCAAAGGGGTACACTTCTCATCTATGGTCAGGGCTCAGCAGCACCCAGGTGAGGCCTCTGAAAAATGTGGGTGGGGTCATGGGACATTTTCTCGGCATTTCTGCAAACTCTGAATTCAATAAAATATGACGAGTCTTTAAAGACTTTCACAAGAGTCTAACTTCTAATCATACGGGAAACAGAGCACTGTGCCAACACAGCCTTTCAATTCCAGAAGTACCTGGTGCCGTTGTTTAAGTCTTACACAATCAGAATAAATTAGTGCATGTCAGGGCCGGGGATCTAGCTCAGCGGCACAGCGCCTGCCTGGCAAGTGCAAGGTCCTGAGTTCAATTCCCGGTACCAAAAATAAATAAATAAATAAGTGCACGGTAAGCCAACTTTATTCTTATGTGTAGGAAAATTCAGAAGTAACAAGGTGTTCCTAATGTGACATTCGCATTTTAAAGGGATAACTGCTTGTGTTTGGGAGGTTCTTAACCCCTCTTTTATCTCCCAGATGCTGGATCGGGTAGCCTGAAAGTTCAATAAGTTAAACATAAATTTCTCCTATATCTAAATTCTTTTAAATCAAAGATAGCAATGAAAGCCGGGTCTGATGGTGTAAGCCTGTGCTAATCCCAGCAGTACAGGAGTCTGAGGCAGGAGGATCACAAATCCAAGCCCAATCTAGGCAACTTAGTGATTTAGGGAAGCCCTGTCTCAATTTTTTTAAAAGCGGAGGATATAACGTAGTGTGAAGGCTCTGGGTTCAATCTCCAGTATAAAATAAAAACACAAAAACAAAAAAAAGATTAACCATAGCAGCACAACCCAAATATCCCTAATAAATTTGAGTGGGTGGTGACAGTAGGAAGGCTGTCCTGGCTTCCCACAGAGTCTAGTCCGTGGACTTGCAATTCTTCCTACCTTCCCCTTCCACACATCAGTGAACTCCAAGAAACAGGAATTTCACAGACCCTCGCCACCCTTGATCTTGCCCAACCCAAGACAAAACCTCTGAGTGAAAAACTAGAATATAAACCCCAGGAAACTGGCTTTACGCCTCACAGTTCTTGAATATCATCAGTCAGTTCACGATTCTCCCGGTTTGGCTTAAGGTGGAAGCTCTCCTCTTGCCTATGTACTGCTCAGACCTTAGCAAGACCAACAAGTCAAGGGCCATACCCTCCAAGGGACACTGAAGACTTCACCGTGGACCGCATTAAGGCCTGCTGGTAATACATGATCTGAAAGAGAGACAGCTGTTAGAAGATGTCCAACTCCTCACCCTTACATGTCCCTAACGTTGACACTATAGATGGCTCCCAAACTAGAAGCTGTTCATCCCTAACAGCCCAGCCCATTCGCTTAAGCCAGCCACCCCAGTACCAACAGGGCTCAGATCCACGCTGGACAGAGGACCCCACACTCCAAACTAGTAGTCACCTTAATATATCTTGCATTGGTCTGCAAAAAGGGACTCACCAGAAAGGGAAAAAAAGTCCTAAAACGCGTTAGACTAAGGCATGGGAGCCATATGCTTGGCTTTTCTCTTATATGTTTCTGGATGACGGAAGAAATAATGGTCCCCACCAAAGGGGACATCGTCAATCTTTCCGGTTTTGCAGCCATGAAAGCAGCAAGCCATCCCCTCCTCAGCCCCTTCTCAGATATCCAGTGACACATCCTACCTTGATGGCCGGGGCTTCCCAGGGCTCTGCCTTGGGCTCTGAATAGAAGCCTGGCTCACCTAGGTAGTTTGTCTCCTTGACTTAATTTTGGATGGCCCTCAAGTTACAACAGGGGCCAGCTTGGGGACAGGGACACGTGCAGTATTTATTTCCACGGCCCTCTCTGTCCATCCCTCAGATACGTGGCCTCAAAGGGTGTTTTACATCCGAAGCCTCCTCATCAGCCTCATTCAGATCTCACAAAAGACCCTTTGTCATTCTGTGCTGTCCATTAATTTGGAAACAACCGTGTGAACATTACATGTGGTTTTCATTTCATTACCAAGTGGAGACCAAAAAGTCAAAGTCCACATTATTTTTGTTAAAGCATTTTACATCAAACTTCTTTGGAACTAGGAGGCCAATTACCTCTTTTCTGACAGCAGTGATTGTTTGTTTCTGTAAAACAAAGAAGAAAAGCAAAACCAGTAAACCAATGTCATGAAATCATTTCAGTTCAAACACCCATTCGAAAAACAAATACCCTTCCTCATGAGAAAACGGTCCATCTTTTCTTACTTAAAAGGTAGGATTTCCCCACCACCACAAACTCTACCCTGCTCTGAAGAATAACATCAGTAAGAGACGTGCTGAGGGATGGGGAACAATTTACCACTCTAATTTTTTGCCGTTCTCCTAAAAACCGAGATAAATTAAAGGCTAAGGTTGAGGTTGATCCCAAGCTACTGTAGTGTCAGAACTACCTGCGGATTGGCTTACCCAGTGGTTCAGAATGAGAGCTAAAGCAGGAGAAGCTAGTGTACCTCTGTGTTTCTTTCCCCACAGGGAAGAGTTCCGAATGAACCGTGACATTGACTCCCAGATCCTTACACCAGCAGGACCAATATCACAAATTGAAACAACAAAAAAAGCCACAGGGTCAAAAGTAAAGCGCGCAATCAAAACCCTAGCATCTGCTGCCCGCTGAGCCCCAGAGCTGGGCTGCAGTGTGAGATAGTCTCATCGAGCCCAGCCTCTTGCTGAAGCTGCAGGAAGAAGCACGTTCATGCCCAGGTGGGCTGCAGGGTGTCCTCTCAGGGCTTTTTAAGCTAAGGCACAGAAAGGATGGCTCCAAGACAGGCTTCACATTTTGGGTTTTAGAAGGCCCCAGGAGCTATTCAGATCTGTCGCCAACTGATATACACAGATCTTCCACAACCTGAAAGGGAGAGGCCTCACTGGCACTACGTTTCTGACCCCATGCTTGAGGCAGTGTATGGTGGTAATTCCAGTCTCAGCTGTGCTGGGTTTGGTTATGTCCAAGAGCTGCCTTGTGCGACTCTTACACTTCAAGCAGAGCCTCTTAATTCGTGGGTGCTAGTATTGATGCTGTGGTACCAGCCAAACCTTCATGTAGAATAGTCAAAAGTCCAAGAAACACTCTGCTTTCCTTTAGCCAGTTGGCAAAGTAAGCGCTGGTCCATAAGCCCACGCACGAAGGAAGGCCCGACCTGGAATGTCAGGCACTCATCTCTCCTTAAGTTGGGTTTCACTTTACTGCATTGCATTGCTCTTATAGGCTCGCTTTTCACCAGAACTCTCTTTCCCAGGTGGAGGCACAGGTAAAATTGTTTCAGAAAGGGAAAGTTCAGCTAGGTCTCTGTTTTAGACTCTTTCATACCCTGATCTGCTCTTTCATAGCGTTCATCACAATTTTACATCGTTCATGAGACTCTTTTCTTTTTAATGTCTGTACAGTATCACCACTAAGGCACCAACAGTAGGAAGACCATGTCTATCTTCCCTAAGACAATGCCTTATATAGGATAAATGCTCCGCAAATATCAAGTAATTAATGGCTACAGTGCAGTGCTGTCAGGGGCCTAGAAAAAATGCGGACTCTTTCTAGGTTTAATAGAAATTTTTACATTAAAAAAATTTTAGACACTCCCCAGATGATCTAAATGTTTTGCCAAACACACTTTCCCTTTGCCTCCGTTCTCTTTCAACGTAAGGCCCTATTTCAGAAGACTTGCATTCCAGGTAGAGAAGGCCCCTGGGGACAGAATGGACTTGCACACACATCTAATATAATCAGATCCTCCTCTCAGAGTCTTGCTGACGTGGATGACAAAATATCATCTAACAATCTCTGACCTCTGCTCCAAGGAGAAGCTAGACTTTTGCATAATAAGAACTGCCTGGGAAATACCACGAAGCAGTTTTTACCTTTTAGAGTCTTTATACATCTTAAAGGAGGGAGATTTTATCATACTGATCTTCCCCGGAGAACAATCCAGGCACTAAGAGGTTGTGGGAAACTTTCTCAACATCTGGTAATTGGCTGAGCCATGATTCAAACCCAGCTCTACTTTCTGCAAAGTGGAGGAGCGACTCATGAGCAACAGAAAGTCACCGAACTTACTACTTCTCCCCTACCTTGCCTGCTGTCCTCAGCAACTGCTCCCTAGGTACGTGTTCACCAGCCAGTGTCATGAGCCCTCTCCTTCAAAAGACACACACCCGATCTTTCTGTCTGTTGGTGACTGTCCCAGGGTCAGTTCCCAGGGCACAGAGCTGGGTGGCTCTGGTTGTCCTGGTGTTCTTCTTTTTTTTTTTTTTTTCGTTTTTCTCCGGTATCGGGAACCGAACTCACGACCTTGCGCTTGCCAGGCAGGCGCTTTGCCGGTGAGCTAAATCCCCAGCCCCCTGTCCTGGTGTTCTTGAGACCCCACAGGAGCCGTATCTGCAAGTCACAGCAACGTGCACACGCATTTCTGCTTGCCCTCTCCTCCTCTTTCCTGGCCTAATACATTTCCTTCCAGGGCCATTACTTCAGCCTTCACAGTTTTAAATTTTTTATATTTTTCACTGTATTTGCTTTTATTATCTCTTTAGAATTTTGCCTCTGTGCTGTGGTTTACCATTTGCTGTCTGTCCTATGCTCTCCAGTACAGATTGACAGTTGCTTATCCCAAATGCTCTGGCGCGGAAGTGTTTCAGATTTTAGATTTCTTTTCTGATTTTGGAATATATGTAGGTACATAATGAGATATCTTGGAAACAGGACCCAAGTCTACAGTGAAATCTGTTTGTCTCACATGCACTTTATGCACATAGACTAAAGGTCATTTTATATGTTTTCTAAATAATTTTGTGCACGAAACAAAGTTCCATGGCAGGAACTTTTCCACGAGCATCAAGTCGGTGCTCAAAAGGTTTAAGATTTTCAGAGAATTTCTAACCTCAGAGGTTTGTTTTAGGGATGCTCAACCTGTGATAGGATTTGGTTGAGGCTGAGGCTTCTCTTGCTGCTACCTTGTCTGTGTAAATTTTAGCTTTTATTTCCTGCTTTAAAAATAGCTGCACAAGGGACCAGCTTCCTCCTGGCACATCTAGGAGGTATCTCTGTCCGTCCAGGGGTCTAAGTAGTGGGGCACAGCAGGGAGAGGGATCTGGACTTTTCTAAAAGGTGGAAAGACCATTTTGCCTGTGAGATAGGGAATGGCTCAGGAAGGCTTATAGACTTTGGGACGAGGCAAGGACTACAATCCTCGTTGCTACTTCTTAGCTATTTGACCTTGGGCCAGTGAGTTAGCATCTCAGAAGCTTTGGCTGGGGATTTAGCTCAGTGGCAAAGCGCCTGCCTGGCAAGCGCAAGGTCGTGAGTTCGGTTCCCGGTACCGGAGAAAAACAAAACAAAAAAAAAAAAAAAAAAAAAAAAAGAAGCTTTAGTTTTTATTTGTAAAAAGATGGGGCAGAAGAGAAAAGGATGAACATACACAGGTGACTGTCATACTGTGAGATCCAATAAATAGTAGCTATTAACCAGGGTTAATAGACTGCTTCTCAAATATGACACATATGTGGAATGATGTTAACCCTTCTTACCAGATGAAATCCTAAGCACAGGCAATAGTTGGGCTATACTTATACTGAAAAGGTTAACACCGTTCATCTGAAATTCCGATTTAACTGGGCATCCTGTGTTTTTATTTGCTAAATCTTACAAACCTGCTATCAATATTAGTATTACTTCGCCAGAGGTCATAAGAAACATAATTTTGAAATGAAGCTATTAAAACTGCACACACCCACACACAGTTCGGTGCAATTCAAAGCAAAGCACCTTGTGATAAAATAGGCAGAAGCACTTTGTCCTCTGAGAATTTGCACGCCAATCCCCTTTGCTCAGGAGCTGGCCCTCCTGGAGTGAGGCCCTCTCTGTCCCTCTTCCCCTTGATACACTTTGTCACACTGAGAATATTTTGCCTAAGGAATCTCTGAGTGCTCTGCATTCCTGGAATTCTAACAACGTATGATTTTTTTCACTCGCTGTCTTTCCCAAATAGGGACAGAGCGAGACTTGTTTACGCAGCTCTGTGGTCCAGCCAGAGGGAGGCTGTAGTCAAGTGTCACAGAGCAAAAGGGGTCAGGGCCGTGCCCTGCCTGAGCGACCCTAAGGCCACTGTCAGATAGGAGGGAGGAAGCGCAGGGGAAGACAAGCTCAGGAGGCAGCGGCTGGGCAGGAATCTGCAAAGACACGGAGGCGGAGCCAAAGGTGGGAGGTGGGAAGAAACACCAGGAGTTGCAGCAGATTTTCAAGAAACACAGAGGGGGCAAAGGCAGAAACCAGGAAATCCGGCGATGACGTCATCAATCAAAGCAGACGGGAAATCAAGGAGAGGCGCCTATCCAAGGGGAGGAAAGACCCTAAGTTGCCATCACTGGGAGGTCCTGCCAGGTACCTCCAACAGGGTAGAGGCGAACTTTCTGACAATGTACAGGGCCCAGTGCGAGATGGAAACGCGGGGGGCCTTTCTCCAGACAAACTGAACAGAGGATGTTAAGAGGGCAACAGATCGTTACATCAAGCAGGGCTCTTCTGAGGGTGGGGCCTTGGAGCCTATACAAGTCACCTGCCATGGAGGGACCCTGGGTGTAGGACCCAGGCCTAGACACAGTGGTAAGGGGTGGTGCTGAGCTAAATTACAGTACTGACTCCCTCAGCCTGCTTCCTCCGCCGGGAAACAGGGAAGCAAGCCCACGCCGTTCCCACCTCCTCAGGCGGACGTGGTCTTCCCTGAGCCAGCGCCACAGAGGCAGCAGCGCTTGGCTCCTTGCAGGCACAGGGAGCCATTGGCCCGCATCAGCTGCTGACGTCACCCCTTCCCCAGCCGGTCGGTCGGGGCCACAAGGAAACAGCGTCTAGTTCCCCACTTGCGCGAGCACACAAGGGACTTTGCTCCCTGAGCGCTCTGCAGAGCACAGCGCTGTAACACCGCGGAGCTCTACTTCTGCTTCTCGCTCAAAGATCAGTGTACCAACAACGCAGGCAGGGCTGGCTCAGAAGCTGGCTGCCACCCTGCACAGCCCAGGAAACTGGTGTGTGTGTCCCTCCCTCCGCTCCCGGCCACAGTATGGGAATGTGTGAGGACAGGAGAGGAAACTGGCTAAGTTCAGCCCGTAAAACGAGTCAAGGGTCTCCAGGACCCCACGTAAACCACCTCACCCACAGCTATGATAATAACTACCTCTTGCAGAGTGTCTCTGTCTACCAGATACCGTTCCAGACACTCCGCATTAATGATCCTGGTCAATCGTCTGAGGAAGGAACTATTGTTATTCCCATTCCGCAGATGAGAAAACTGAGATCTGAATGGCTTGTAAGTTTGCCCAGGATTACACAGGCAGGGAGGGGCAGAGCTGAGCTACATCTAACGTCACCACTCCGCATTCTCCATGACCCTTTCCTCTCGGGGGAGGTAACCGGGCAAGGGGGACACTGGGAAGGCAGACACTGGTGCCAAGTGGCGGAGCATAGCACGGCCCCCAGCCCCGCACCGCCGGGTCTGACAGACGGTGGAGCGGCTGAAGCTTCAGGGGGGTCTGGAACATGAGAACCCCAGGGCTCAGTCTTGCTACTCCAGGGCAGCCGGGTACACAGACAGGAGAGAGAGCTGATGGGAGAGAAAGAGAGAGAGATGCGTAAACAGCAAGGTAAGCACAGCCCTGTGGAGCCCCGCGCGGGGAGCCGCTCAGTTCGCTCTCTGCCCCCAGCTCCTAGCATAGCCGGCGGCTGGCAGCAGGTGGGCTGTGAAAGCCAGAGGCACATCCCCTCCATCAGGGAACAGGAAGTCGCTCCCCTGTGAGGACCCCCGGGGCTCCTCAGAAGTCACCCCAACTAACAGAACACCCAGCTGGAGCAGCTCAGCTCCTTGCCCCCAGATTGCTCAAGGGAAGCTTTTGCCCCGTTCCCCCCTCCCTCACAGCTAAGCCTCAGTCGCGGCCACACCCCCTCCATCCCCACTCCCTACCCAAGGCAGGGTGAGTGATGCTTTTTGCTTCCACCTTCCCTTCCTCCTCCACAGGAAAGAGGTTTCCAGAGCAGCCAGTTATCCATTAAAAACATTTAAAAAAAAAAAAAAAAAAGAAGCAAATCTTCCACCCAGGGTTCTCTATTTTACTCAATGATTCTGTTTCCATGGCAACTGAGCCTACAAGGGCTCTGCAGTGATCTGGTGTCTGACAAGGGGGCCGTGGGAAAGGCTGCCCGGGGAAGGTGGATGGCAACACGTGGGCATCAAAAGAACGGTCACCTTGGCTGATGGGCAAGGAACCTAACAATTCCCCTGGCGACGCTCCCTGGGGATACATGTCCCTCTCTCCACACGTCCCAGAGCCAGCTTTTCCCTGCTCCTTGCTCCTTCTCCCTCCCTTTCTGTCTCCGTGTTTCCCAGCACACCCCTCCAGGCCCCCACTCTTGACTTGAGGCTCAGCTGCACCTTGCAGAGGACACGCGAGAGGTGACAGCCACCTGCTGCCCCAAAACAGTGTTGGAAGGAAACCAAGGATAACCACCCAAGACAAGTTTAAATGGATTGTAGGTGAGACTGCTGGGCAATTCTGACTCCCTCCCCAGGGCCGAGGAGGCAGTGTCTAGCGACATTTTTGATCGTCACAAAAGAGGAAGAGAGAGGAGAGCAGAGACCTCAGTTGGGCAGCAGCTACAGACGCTGCTGATCACCCACAGGGCCACGGCAACCTGCTGAAGAACTCTCTGGCCAAAAACGTCCACAGCGACAGGGTTTCAACAGCTTGTAAACTGCATTTCTTTGTCTTTTGTTTGTTTGTTTGTTTTTCCGGTACCGGGAATCGAACTCACGACTTTGCGCTTGCCAGGCAGGCGCTGCGCCGCTGAGCTAAATCCCCAGCCCTGTATTTTGTTTGTTTGTTTGTCTGTTTTTGCATTTCTTAAAGGCAAAAAAAATGCATAAGAAATTGACTAAGCACCCTGAACGGTGACTTATTTATGGAAAGGCTCTTTTTGTAAAATTAAAAGTATCTAAGAATCCTTGAAAAATCCCCACTGGGATAGGAAAGAAACTGTGGTATTCTAATACCTGTGGTGTGGATTAAGGTTTTCATCCACACTGATTTAAAGGTTTTGAGCGCAGGGCCTATAGTCTTCTCAGGTTCAAAAAACTGGCAGGAATTTTGTGTAAACTGTCTGCGCATCTTTGGGTAGGATGGGCTCATAAGTCTCATCAGATTTTCAGAGGAGGAAGTGACTCAGAAAAGACTGACAACCAGCCATGTCGATGCCATCTGCTCTGACACGCATTGTGTGCTCTCTCTCGCTCCCTCCAGTGACGAGCTAGCTCTCTTTACCCAGGACCTTGGCCGTGGCCTCCCTTCTCCCCTGACCCTGACTCCACAGAGCCAAGGTGTGTCTCTGCGTAGCACTCTCAGAGCGGAGAAAGCACTGCCCCAGTAGACTTGGTGGACATGTGGACACCTTCCCAGACTCCGAATCTGGACTGGACCCCGCCCAGAGGGCAGCACAGACATACCTGGTTTACCTTCACTTCATTCGGATTGGTCACACGGTCCAGGCCATAGTCCAGCACATTGTTCATGCCCGGCTAGATGAAATAAAAATGATAGAAGGATCACTACAGGAGTCTCCAGTTTCTGATTAACTTTAGGTCTTTGCCAAGGTACTGATCGTGAGATGGAGCTGAGAAGGACTTGTGGCCTAGCTCAGGAGAGGTATAAAGATGTATAAACGCTCCGGGTGAGTTAAGGAGCTTCCTGGGAGCTGTTCTGCCACCACATCTTCCCAGAACCTAACAGTGGGATGAAAGGATAGATGTGTGTGGGTGGGTGGAAGAATGGGAGGATAGAATGGGAGGATGGGTTGATGGGTGAACAGATGGGTGGCGTCTCTATACCGTAATGGGATGGATGGGTGGATGGGTGGATGGGTGGATGGATGAGTGGGTGGTGGGTTGGGTAGGTGGGTGGATGGATGGATGGATGGATGGATGGGTGGATGGGTGGGTGGATGGGTGGATGGGTGGATGGGTGGTTGGATGGATGAGTGGGTGGTGGGTTGGGTAGGTAGATGGATGGATGGATGGATGGATGAATGGGTGGATGGGTGGATGGATGGATGGATGGATGAGTGAGTGGTGGGTTGGGGAGTGGGTGGATGGATGGATGGATGCATGGGTGATCAAGCTCAATTAAAGTTCACATGGATTAATATATGGAACTCCCTCCTCCTCGTTCTCCCGCCCCCTGAAGTTCCTGTCTTGGGATCTTTTTAGAGGAGTAACATCGCAGTGTTTTGGGAGATGCCAGGCTTAAGCCAGGCACCTCTGGTTTCCAACCCTAGTTCTGCTGCTTCTCAGCTGTGCCACAGATCTCAAAAAAACCACTTATGTCTGTGAGCACTGACCCATCTGGGACCCCTTCTACCTGGCAGGTTCTTGTGAGGATTTAAAAAGGTGGGGTGACACTATCAACAGAAGGTAGCTAGCCTCGAGCAAGGGGCTGTATTCATTTTAGGATCACACAGTCTATGGGAAGGTGTGGGCTGAGCTGGTCTGCGATCTTCCTCAGTTCCTGTTTCCGTGTCAGGCAAGCCCACTCTCTGGCCAGTCTCACTCGGTCTCTCCCAACTTCTTGAGGCCATCAGTTGAAGTCTTTCACTTCCTTCTTCAGGGCAAAGAACCTGCCAAGCACTGAGCACCTCTTCCTCACCGGGCTGACTACACTGGAGAGAGCTGAGGAGCACCTTGCTCTCTCTCTATCACATGCAGCCTCACCAATAGGACTGGAAACATCTTTAGCTCAGAGTTAGGACTGCCAGAACAAAACCTGGGATTCCAGTGAGTTACAGGTACAGAGTAAAGGATTTGTGTCTCAACATCTTTATACATGTTGTATATTTATACTAAAAATACAAAATGTATATAAATATATATTTTATATAAAAATTATTTTTAATCTAAAATTCAAATGTGACACCCCATGTTTCATTTGTTAGCTCTAGTAATGTAGGTCAACAGGTTACTGTGGAGGCAAATATTGGACCTACAGCCTAGTCAAGGAAGGGAAAACAAGAGGATAATAGAAAGTGAGTGGGCCGGTCATGGTGGGGCAGAGGCAGGAGGATTGCTGTGAGTTCGAGGCCAGTCTGGGCTACATAGTAAGCTCAAGGCCAGCCTGAAATGCATAGCAAGACCCTATCTCAAAAAAAAAAAAAAAAGAAAAGAGAGAGAGAGAGAGAGGAGGGTACAGAGAAAGGGAGCCCTGCCCTTACCCTAGCTGTTCCCCGCGGACCTCCATCAACAAATGTTCCTTGTGTGCTGGACACTTGCTCAGCCCCGGAGGTCTGGGGAGTGTCACCAGAATTAACCACCCATCTCTTCCTTTGAACTCGCCCCCACTCTGCATAAATTCTTCTACCGTGGAGCTCAAAGTCTGCCTGCATAACTGAAATCAGCACAGGGACAGTCCCTGACAGCTCGGCCTTAGACTGTCGGGCCCAAAGCCACCTCCACCTCAGGACGTTACTATTCCATCCAGTTCGCCTCTCTCCCATTTTAGCTTCTCTTCCAGCTCTCAGGAGCAGCCGGGTACCACTCTGACTACGGAGCTCCTCCAGCTCCTGCCTCCCTCAAGCCTTCCCAGGGGTGGCGCTCACTAAGCCCCAGTTGTTCCTAAGGGAGCTGTGGTCCCACCTGGTGCCCCGCCCTCAATGCTCCCCCCAGGGGGCTGCCTTTCTGCCTCTGCTGCTTAGGGACAATGCCAGTCATTCATTCACTCATTCATTCATTTATCCATCAGGTAGCTCAGTTCTTGGTCCACCGTGGTGGTCTTCAGAGCTGATGCAGTTTCTAACACACACGATGGTGCTCCACTGAAGAGCTGACTGTCCGGGCACAGGAAGTAAGGGCGACTGATGCACCCCTGCAAACTGCTGCCCGCAGGTAGGAGGCAGGAAGATACTTCTGCCCTGAAGCCACAGGCAGGAAGTCCTCCAGTGTCGGGGGAGCTTCCCCACATCCTTCAGAGGAACTGCAGCACCACGGTATGATGCCCTAACCATATCCCCTAAGTATAAACAGAAAGCAGTTTGCTAAAAGCCTGGCGGCTGAATGTGGGGAAGACCTTACGTACTTGCTTCGGGAGGAGGGGACACTCCCAGGAACCAGCACCCCACAGTAATGCCAGTGTGGGACTGCTGGGTGACCCACTCCTGTCTCCTCTACTGCTCCTCTCCTGTGCTGGTCCTCACTCTTTCTCCTAAAGCATCAGAGCCTTTTGATGCAGGGGATGGAAGAGACAAATAAAGCACTAACTTGTTTTATAAACAAAATAAGGGAAAGTGAAGCAGGAGAGGAGGAGGGACAGAGGTAGAGGAAGGGATGGGAAGACAAAAGGAGAAAGGGAGGAGAGGGAAGAGAAACAAGAGAGGCGGGAGAGGGAAGGGAAGGGAAATAACGTGAAAGGAGAAGAGAGGAGAGGAAGGGAGGAGAGGAGGTGGGAGAGGAGGAGGAGAGGAGAGGAGAGGAACAAACAGGGAGATAAGGTTGGGTGAAAGGGTAAGAAGTTGGCTCCAAGCACACCTTGGCTGGAGCATCACTCCCCCAGAGAGGTGTTCCCTGACCCCTGTTCTAATCTGCGAGACCCCTGTCTCCTACAAGCTGCCACGGCATTCTGCGTATTGCTCATTTGTTTCCATCACTGTCTTTCTCTCTCCACCAGATTGTAATAAGCACTTGAGGTCACAGACCGCGATTGTCTTCGCTCAGAAGCCGAATACCCTCCACTGCCTACTAAGCATCTGGCGTACACGCTTAGACATTCACAAAATATATGGTGATTTTTAAAAATTTGAACCAGATTATATGGAGTGTTCCCTACTGTTTATATGTCAGATATTTTTCTACTCAATAAATGGCCTTTGAAAATTTCATTTGAATAGTTTCACCATGTTCCAGCACATTGGATGTGCTTTAATGTATTTTGCCATTCTCTGTCTTGAAGCATTTAGCCCAGCCCTGGCAAGAGATGGAAGACAGACATCTCCTCTCCAGAGTGAGTGTCTGCATACATGGTTGAAACAAAGGCCATTTAGCTTGTTAATCAGACTCTTGATCATTTGATTTAGGGTGCACTGGGACTGAGCCACGGATCACACCCTTGCAAGACGCCAAGTCACAGGTGGTAGAGCAAAGATGCAGGAAAATCCCCCAAAATGACTTGCGAAAGGAACTACCTGTCCCTTTGTTCATTTACACTACTATCCGCATCACCCATTTGGTGAAAAACAAAATAAGAACATCATTTTCCTTTCCTAGAGGAGGCTGGATCACAGGTAATGTCTGAGCTCTGAATGGAACTGGGGTCAGGACCCTCAACCACGACCACCCATGTCTGATCTTGGCCTCTGCCAGTGGTGCTGACCCCCATGCAGCATTGGACAGTGTCCTGCACCCAGCCCACCGCACCTCATGTCAATCACAGCTCAGTGAGCCTGTTCTGCACTGGCTCTTACCTCTGGAGGAGCGCTACCCTCCTGCGTCATGGCAACTTGGATTTTGAGCTAATTGAGGTAACAAAGGAGACATCCTCCTTGCAGAGGAGCAGCCTGCAGGGCTTAGTCATCGCTAGGATGTGGAGTTACATCCTAGCCCTGAGCAGACTGAACTCTCTGAGCCTTGACTTCTCCTTCTGAGCAATGGGATGATGACACCCCCTACTCCATAGCATGTCATCAGGTGCAAACGAGCCCATCTGTGCCAAGAACTTCACACGCACACACAGTAACCACTCGGTGACTCCTAGCTGGCATTTGATGTCCGGCACCTAACTCCTTGTCCGGCACAGAGGGTTTCATGGACAGACGAACACACAAAGGAGCAGGTGAGTGAATCACCCCACCCCGACAGGAGGCTACAGTCAGGGCACAGGGTGGCTGCTCAGCATCCACGCTGCCGGATGCTTGGTTTGCCACGATTGCCTTTTTTCCTCCTGCACTGACGGTTTGTTTGGGTCTCCTAGAGACAATCTGACAGTCTGTAGGCTCCCAGGCTCCCTGGGCTTGTCAGACAGATTGCTCTGATTTTGGTTGAGACACTCTTGACTCTCCGCCCTGTGCGAGCAAACCGAAGAAATGGAGAGTGTTTTAGGGGAGTTGGGAAGATCCAGATGCCTTCCTACCTCCCTGTTTTTCAGTACTAAGGATTGAAACAAGGGCCTCATGTGTGCTTGTTGAGTATTCCACCACTGAGCTACATGCCCTGTCCTTTTCAAAATTTTTTTAATTTTGAAGCAGGACACGGTGGTGCACAGCTGTAATCCCAGTGCTCTGGGAGGTTCAGGCAGGAAGACTGAAAATTCAAGCCCAGCCTGGGCAACTTATCAACTCAGAAAGACCCTGTCTCAAAATTTTAAAAATAAATAAAAAGGGATGAGGATGTAGCTTAGTGCAAAGGCCCTTGACTCCATCCCCAGTACCACCAAAAAAAAGGAAAGAAATCTTTTGCTACAGGGTCTTGTTAAATTGCCCAAATGGGCTTCAACCTTCTGACCCTCCTGTCCCAACCTCCCAAATAGCTGGGATTACAGGTCTCAGCCACCTTAAGTGGCTTAAAATCCTTAAGCTTTGGCCTGGTTTCCCCTGAGGAGGGCAGCAATGAGGAAGATTAGACATGAAGAGCAGCTGTGTGTGCTGGGAGTTCAGGGCCACTCCGCATACATCACAGCCCAGCTCTGAATGTGGGTCTTCCCTGCTATCAAACAGGGGCCAGGGACACGTGAACCGATGTGCTATGTTTGCTGGGACAGCAGTGATTTGGACAATGACCGAGGAGGTTACAAACACATGGAAATGCACTAAGGTATCAGGGGCCACTGCTGTGAGAGGTGAAAGGGTGTAGCGACCACAGGAGAGGTTCAGGAGACGGTTCAGGTCCTCTGGCACAGGCTATGGGTAAATGCGGGACATTACTGAGCCTCATCATAAGATGAGAATGATAGCATTGCCTTCCACACAGGCTGAAAGGGGGAAATAAGACAGAGCATGGTGAGCACTTAGCATGCTGCCCAGTACACTGTGAGTTCCATGATGAGGACATCAATGGCAATGACAATTGTGGTGATGGAGGTAGTGGAGGTGGATACAGTGGGGGACCGATGGGTGATGGAGATGGAGGTCATACTAAGGTCATAGTGACAGACAGAGGAGGAGGAGACATGGTCACAGACACGCATTGTCATATATATGTCCTCCGTATCATGCTCTGAAGAGTCACTCAGCCAACTGCCTGCTGGAGGGAGGGCTGAGAGCTTACCCCAGGAGGAATGGGGGAATCTGGCTATCTGTTATTCATTTTATTTCCTATGGGCTTCCTGGATTCAGGGACAGAGGGAGGAAAGGGACTCTGGGTAAACCATGTGCACAACCAGCGTATGTCACTTTGCAAGGAAGACAGTTCTCATGCTGTGGAGTCTCTGCATGTGCAACGGAAGCCATTCTCCACCCCGCAAGGAGCAGAGATCCCTTGGTCATGGGATCCCTGGGCATGGGGTCAGCCTTGCCCAGTGGATGGTATACTCATCATTTTCCCTTATCCTCGCCCATGTGTGCTTTTCCTGGAACTGATGAGGCACACGCAATTCACACAAAGGCTTCACTCCTAACCTACCGACAGGGAGGTATGTGCTTTACACTGTGTCCCCAGAACTGTACCCTGTCACCCACACCCAGCCCTCAAGGACCTGTGCCAGCTCTCTGCAAACTGGTTTCCCCAGAGGAAGACCCCTGACGAAAACAAAAAAACCAAACAAACTGCCTGGGGATCAAGCTTAGCAACACAGCCTCCAAAACCATGCCCCTACAGAGGTAATACCTTAAGGAGAATCTGTTTTAAATATGGAAAGAAAACAAGTGTTATGCTTTATGTCTGTGTGTCCCCTCCAAAGCCTCATGCAACCACAGGGCAGACTTTTAGAGTTTGATTATTATGGGTATGAGTGCTACACCCACCCTGGGGTGGATAGTTTGCATATGTAAGGGAGAGGAAAAGGGTGCTTGAGGCCATTCCTCCCCCATTCTGCCCTGGTGTGTGGTTGTTGCTTAGCTGTGTTCTGCTGTCCTGAGATGCAGCCCTCTGCCATGTGCCACTCTGCCTTATAATCTGCCAAGTACGGATTGAAACTTCCACGAACTGTAAGCGAAATAAACCTTTCCTTCCTTAATTTTGGGCATCAGGTATTTCGTCCCAGCAGCGAGAAAAAAGTAACCAAGACAACAAGTAAAAGAGCCAAAATAGGATGGAGACGGAAGTCCAAAATTCCTTAAGTTTAGGCACCAGGCCTGACCCAACTCACTCGCCAGTTCTGAGAAGTTCTAACACCTAACAGCAGGCAAGGACTGAGGAAGAACATTTGTTTCAAACTCTTCCTTTCCAGAACCTCTTTCACATCTCCTGCCTCCCATGATCCAGTGGCAGCACGGGAACCTGAGGCAGGAGGAAACTGAGGTAGCAGAGTTCACCCCAGTAGCGGGCAGTCAGCAGCTGCTTCCCTGGGCTGGGGGATGAGGCTCCCATTTCCCAGTGATAACTGGGATGAATTCCATCAGCTGTGCACAGCATGTCTCTCTGGGCCACTGAAAAACCCAAAGCCAGAGAAGGAGCATGCTACAAGCAACAAGAAGCTCAGCGTGCACTGACTCCTTCTCTCCTCCTCCCAGCTCAGTGGTTAGGAATCTGATCCAAGGGAGGAGAAGAGGGAGCCAGAGACACAGGATGGCTTTGGTCCCAGAGAGTCTCTTTTCTCACTGCATTTTATTTTGCTGCTTTGGGACCTGTATTCTAGTTTTTTCTTCTTAAATCCCCTTCCCAAGGCATAGTAGCTTGAACAGCAACAACAAAAATAGCCCTAGCCCTCATAAGAGACAAACCCATTCAGGTACCTCACTACCTAACACACAGATGGGCTGTGAGAGACCCCACCCAGCTGTGGTGCGTGCCCTCTTCCGCTGTGTGCTTGGCCAACGCTCAGCAGCTCCTTCTGCAGATCCAATTCAAACCCCAGTGGGCAAGGAGCTCGCGGTAGTCATGGTGAGCACAGAGAGGGCAGGGGGAGCCTCAGAAGAGATAGGGGAACCCAGGGAAGAGGGTACTCACAGGGCACCGGTGCACCAGCCAATACGCCTTCTCCTGGCAATCCAGAGCATACCTGTCAGCCTTGTTCCTTTCTTTCCCAGTCCTGAAAAACCAAAATCCATGCTGAAGGACAGTGATATTTTGCATCTTTTGGTCCAAAATCATCCCCATTTTTGATGACCTGGACCACTCTCCCCATATGCCCAATTAATTCACCTGTGCTGTAATAATAAGCAGCAAATATTAATAACCACACTTACACATTAGGTACCATTCTAGCTACTTTTCCATGTATTAACTTGTTTCATCCTGGTTCATCTTCCCAGTGGCCTTTTCTGGCCTCACAGTTCAGAGAACTGAAGAAAGAAGGGATAAGTCCCCTGCTAGGTCCACATAGCTGGCATGAGGCAGAGGTGAGGCTTGAACCCAGGACACTGGCCCCTAGGGCCTGCTCTTGCAGATAACACCAGACCACAACAATCATGCTGCCAAGACCAGCTTTGCCAGCTTCCCCATTGGAGCCAGCGGGGACGACCAGCTGGGCCGACATTAGACCTTGTTTCTAGCTGTTTCCTGCTTTGGTAAAGGATATCATCAACCTCCAGGCAGGCAGCAAGCGGTGTCAGAGAGTGTGCGGGGAAATTGCTGGTCTTGGGTCACACTTCTTTCCCTCCACAGACTGTGTACCAAATCAGGGCTTTCTCTGAGCTCAATTTGGGATTGTAAAAGGCTGCTTCCCTCTTGTCTCTGGGTCTCCCCCTTTCCGAGGACGGATGGGGGGTGATGCTGGGCTTTCTTTCTCCAGGAGTGAGGGAACACTAACGATCGCCCTGGGGCCCCACTCCGGCCCATTTCCACAGTGAGCTGCACACACATTCATTAGCGCCTGGTTTTCCAGGCAACATGAGATGACGCACAAGCCCTCTCCACAGTGGAGTTTGTGGATTTATTTCCCCGTTAATGTACTGTGAATAGCATAATAACATCCAGAGAGCCAGATGGGTGAACGGCGCCATTCCATCAGGGTGTTTTGCCAACCTCCTCTGGAACTGAAGAATAAACGCTGCCGCTCTTGCCTCTCCTTGACAACCTACCTGGATTTCCTACCAGGTTAACTAGCTCATGCCCTCGGGAGCACAGGCTACAGGCAGATGCAGCACTGTGGGTCTCCGTGGTGCACGCCAGCCTGGTAAACAGTCTCTGACTGAACCCGTGATCCTTTCTCATTTTGTGTGTCTGCCTCTCTGCGATGGCTATTAATGGAGGGCAGTCGTGATAGATGAAATCCAGGACAGCCAGTAAATGCAGAATCATTGCAGTTGGTCAGTTGTGATGTTTTTAACACCACCATTTGTTCATTCATTCATTCATTCATTCATTCATTATTTATTTATTAACCTTCCAGTATGCTCCAACTAATGGGAGTGTATTGATAAACTAAACACATAGCCCTGGGCTTTGACTAGCTTTTGGTCTAAACATTACACAAATACTCAAGAAATAAATACAGAAGCGCAAGATGCACTGTGTGCTCTGAGGAAACAGCAGAAGCGTCTATGTCCCCTCCCCGGAAGCTAGGTGGGGTTTTGATGGCTCTGACCCACACAGTACGTAAGGCACAGCACTGTGTGATTTCTGAGGCTGGGAAGTTGCCAGGCTACTCACTGGCACATATGTTCTGGAAGCCTCCACCACCTGCAAGCAACCATGCTGTGAGGAAGCTCAAGCCAGACCACGTGGCCAGCCCAGGGGCTACTGGAAGATGGCAGAGAATGTCAGCTGTTTCTGGCCACCCCAGCCTCCCACCCCCAGCCTGACTGCAGCTGCTCGAGAAGTTCCAGGTCAGAATTGCCTGGTCAAACCCTCCCCAAATTCCTGCCCTATGGAATCATGACAGGTAGTAAAACAATTGTTTCTGGTTTGAGCCATTAGGTTTAGGATGATTTGAATGCAGTAACAGCTAATCAGAAAAACCTTTTGGAGGAAGTGACATTTGAAGTGAACACCTTTTCTGATCGCTTAGAGAAGGCTGAGTGACGTGACCCTATCTGTGTTTCAAAAACAGGAGCAGAACGGAGCAGAGAGGCAGCTGGGAGGACATTACTGAGCAGTGGACTTCAAGGCTGGTTCCAACAAGGCAGAAGCAGTGGAGGTACACAAGTGTCGTACTTAGTCAAAGGGACTCTGCAAAAGGGGGCAACAAGACTGAATAACCGGACCTTGTCAGCGAGGGTGGGGTGGATGGTGGTTCCTTACACTGACAGATAATCTTACAGGATGAAGCTTGGAGAGTGAGGGAAAGACACATTCAAAAATGCACAAGTTGTTAGGTTTAAGGGATGGCATCAACTGAGATCTTGAGTAGGTATGTAGGTGTTAAGTATGGGACTCAGAGGCGGAGGCTCTGCATAACAAGAAACAACCCCATGGGCCAACATACACAGCCCACCTACCTTGTGGTGAGACCCTAAATCTGAGATCAAGGCAGGCTTCAAGTTAAGCCAAGGATTTAGGGAGGAAACATCAGCATTTTGGAAGGAGAGAGACTATTAGGAATGGCTCATCCTACAGCACCTAAGAACTGAATGGAGGAGGAGAATGCCCCATAAGACTGGAAGCCTTATATCAGAGCTCATGGTCCTGTAGGTGGCTGAGATCATCCCCCTCAGAGCAGAGAGGAGGTGGAGTTCCTGGAGGGGCTAGAGAGATGCGCACACCTGCGTCTGTGTCCCAGGGGCACAGCCCAGTGCCCGAAGCCACTAGGAATGCTGAGGAGGACCGCCTGGGCAACTCTCCTTGAAAGAAGAGCAATGATCCCCATTTTGGCTAAGCCTGGCCCTATTTCCATATATTGATATGTACAGAGCTGGCTAGGACTTTTCCTTACCCCTTCAATTGGCTTTAAGCAATGCAAATTGGTCCAGCCCAGGTACTGATGTGCAGTCCTTGAAGCAAAGTGACAGGTCAGTGTTACCCCGCTCCCATAGCTCCGAGAGAACATGTGTGAGCCGGGCAGGTTGGAGAGCCACGCTCCACGCTGTCAGCTGGAATCAAGCCTCAAGACAAGAGGCTATGACTTCCCAGGGCATAAAAAATTACACATCAGCACTGAACCACCACCCCCAAAATGTTAGATAATACCTCAAATTGTGTTATGCAGATTACTCCTCCTGCATATCCTTCTCTGTGCATTTTGCAGAGGTGATTTCAGGCCTCCTACCTTGGCCAGCTCACAGCACTCATGTATTTCCCACCACTCTCACAGCCACTCATCCTCAAGCCACTTCCTTTTTCATGAATTAGTAACACCTAGGTTCGGCCCTGGGTGGAGGCCTTTGCTCTGGTTAGCCATCACCACAGTTGTACTTAGGACCGCCCGGGCTCCCCACAACTACAAATATGCTGTAGTGTCTTTATTCTCACCATGGGTTGCACTGAAGTTGTAAATTGGAATTAACTCACTACAATTCCCAGAACTTTTCCATGGGATTAAAATTATAAACTTCCTGGACCTCAATAAGGAACAGGAAAGGCTCTCTATAGAATGTAGCACCAGTGCCGGAGATGGAGTTAAGATATTCTGGTGTTCTTAACCAAAATCTCTCTAAGCCTCAGTTTCCCTACCTACAGGGGTGGCCATAACTGCCACTCTAAGCATTCCCTCTACACCAACATAAAATGACACAACAGCCAAGAACTCTGAGCGAAGAGCTTGTGTGTAAATACAAGTGATGAGAGATTAGATAGCTACCCCATGCTGCTCTGTGTCAGATGTGTCCAGGGAGCGACATGTTCGTGGCTGAAAATCAGTTACCGCTCTCCCATTAATGCCCTCGGGTGGGGGTGGGGGGAAATAAAGCCATGCTGCCGGCTTATTTTTCCCTGGACCAGCACTTGGGTATAACACTGCTCATCACTACTCCCGCTCCTAGGCTGCATCAGGAGAATACCATGATACAGGTCTCTACCAGGCAGCCCAGCCATGCATGAGAAAGTCTAGTCCTCCCAGGTCTGCACCTGTTAGGACGAGGAGGCCGGGCCAGCTGGAATCCCATTTTGATCACCACTACTGCTCTCCCACTGCTTGGTGCCCTGGAAGGGATGCTCCACTCACTGCCTTCTGAAGGCGAACATAACCCTACGCCCTCTTTGCCAAGGGAACTGTGAGCACGGGTAAGAGGCATCGCTTTCGTTCACACAGGCACCGCAGAGCTGGGGTGTATTTGTCAGCAAGCCTAAAACTGACTAGTACACTCTCCCCACCACTCACCACCCCCAGCCTTTACACCCAGCTCTCATGGACGAGGCAGAGCCCTCTGGAGGACTTTCAGATCTGATTCTACTGTAGAGAGTGGAAAAGTGCAAGCCAGGTAGATTCCAGCAGGCAAATCTGACTCAATCTCACTCCCGGCCAATCCTTCTCTGGCTTGTATGGCCCTCAGCACAAAGCCCTGTTGAGATCCGCGCTTGCTAACATTTCCAGCAGACACCTTGCTACCTTCTGCTCTTTGCACGCTTTGCATTCTGTTCCGGCCACAGAAACTGCTTGCTGCAGGCATTCTGCTGGCTCCACCCTCTGGTTCTGTCTGCTTAGAGCGTTCTTCCTCCCACCCCGTCTCCGTTCTGGCCACCATCAACATCCTTCACCTAGATTCCTCCTACACAGCTACCAGGTTCAAGGTCGTTCCTGCAGCTCGCTCTGCAAACCCGTGCCACGTGGCCCTTAGCTCACACAGCGGCAGCACCACAGCCTGTTCCCCACCTGCCTAACACTGGACTGCATCCACTCATCCCATGTGCCACGCCTTGCGTTTGCACTTAAATGACCAGCAAAGGTTTATTTTAATTAGAAGGAAACAAAGAAGCGAGCAAGGAAGGAGAAAGGACAACCAGGGGGCGGCTGTGACCTCCTTTCACTCACCTGTACTGCTCTTTGGCCTGCATAATGACAAAGTCCCACTTGTAGTTAATTTTTTTGTTCAAGAAATTATAATTTTCCTACAGAAAGAAAACAAAACAAGAACATAAGCCCATGTCACAGGACATGTGCATCCAAGCAAAACACCCTAAGCCAATGAGGGCACGTCCCTGGCTCCCCCCAGCAGCAGGTATAGCCCCATTCCCTGTCCCCCACTATCCAATAGGTTCATCCCAGGCGCAGCATGGAATCCTCAAAAGCTTTCACAGCACATCTTCTTTTGCTTGGTTTATTCTGTTTACAATAAATGTACCCCAAATCTGATTAGGAAGAGGGGACTGCAGAAGGCAAAGAATATGGAAACTCAATATTCCACAAATGGAGCATCAAAAATCCACAAAGCCTGAACATTCATACATTAATGTGATGTCTGCCCTTCTCAAAGCATTTCTCTTCCTTTTCGTGTGTGTGTGTGTGTGTGTGTGTGTTACTTTCTGGGGATTGGAGCTTGGGCTAGACAAGCTCTAGCATGCTAGACAAGCTCTCTACCTTTGAACTACATCCCCATTCTTTTTCTTCAGACAGGGTCTCACTAAGTTGCCTGGGCTGGCCTTACACTTGTCATCTGCCTGTCTCAGCCTCCTTCGTAGCTGGGGTTACAGGCATGTGCCATCATATGTGGCTCGAAAGACATGTTTCTAAAGAATTAAAACACAGCAAGATTATTTCCTTCTACAGAAATGTTAGTCTTTTGAGGGTTAGGGTGCATTCTTTGGGAAACCTGACTCACTCACCCTAAAACAAAGCCTATATTATTGTTTTTGTGCCATAAACTTAAGTTTAAATTTGTTAATCAAGTGTTGTGCTGTTATCACATATATTAAGTCATATTGCTTGGGGATGCAAACACAATGGAGAGCCACTGTGTGACCAATTACTACTGATAAGGACCCAAATTACAGGAGAGGACACTAATGCTAAACACGGGGAAGAAAAACTGTACTTCCACGAGCCATTTCTAAATAAATAAGTGGATAGATAGGTGGCTGGCTGGCTAACTGGCTGGATAGATGGATGGATGGGTGGATGGATGGATGATGGGTGGATGGATGGATGGATGGGTAGATGGATGGATAGATGGGTGGGTGGGTGGATGATGGATGGATGGATAGGTGGATGGATGCATAGATGGGTGGGTGGGGGGATGATGGATGGATGGATGGTTGGGTGGATGGATGGATGGATGGATGATGGGTGGATGGGTGGGTGAGTGGATGGGTGGATGGATGGATGGATGGATGGGGGTGCAGATAAATGTAGTAATGTAAGAAAGAGGGAAAAAGCACAGTTCATGATTATATTCCACTCAACTATAATAAGCTTTATTTGAAAACATCTCTGTACCTTTTCATATTCTTCTAAAATCCCTTTCTTCTTGATATTTCTCTTGGCTAGATAAATGGCTGGAAAAGAAAGCAATGACATTTTCCATCATCATCATGTTTCAAAACCCCTTCGGCAGCCTCTGTATGCATGAGGCTGCCCTGTCTGAGTACCAGATAGGATGGTTGGCAGACCCAGTCCCTGCCCCCAGGGAACACTCCCAATACAGATGTGAGCTGACATAAAGGTCATGGTGACAGCAAGACAAATGTCACCAAAATACAGCAAGTAAATAAGCAGTGTGCCAAGACCAAAGCCATGTGGGTGGGAGGTGAAGTATTTACCGTAATCTGTATCTTCAGCTGGCCACTGCTGGGTGGGCCAGAAATATGGTGTCTAAAAAAGAAAACATGCAGAACATACTTAACCACCAGAGCGTGACCTCATGGACTCCTAGCCGTGGGATAGAAGAGGTAAAATCACCTTAGTTCCCTCCACCATTTCCAGATTCCTGATCTGTGAGGATACGAGGCCAACCGATAATCTTTTCAAGTAAGATCAAGCCCATATGAACACCCAAGGTCAAAGTCAAACCTCACCTGGAATCGGTAGAGGCTGCTGTCAGGCTTGAGAACAAGATTCTTGGGGTCTTGCAGAGGGTAAATGTAGCCATACTTGACAATGAAGTTGCCCAAGTTCTGTGCCTCTGGGGAGAAGCATTCAGACACACAGGGTAAGAGCAGGAAATGAAAGGAAAATCTCATTTCCTGGCCCACACATCACCTCCAACTCCAGCAGGGTGTCTCATTCTCTGAGGAGTGGGACAGTGGTTCCTTAACATGAACAGGAACCAGCTGGGAAGCATGCCTAAAGGATGATGCCCCAGGTCCTTCCCCAGAAGTGACAAGCCAGTATGTCTAGATGGGAACCAGTAAATTTGAATGCTAGCAGGTATCACGCATGGCCCACTGCAGATGATTTCAGGGTGATGATCAGGGAAGCCCTGAAGAAGCATCTACAAGCTCTTTGAATCTAGAAAAGACCACAAGAGTGGTTAGCAAACGTCTCTGCCTGACCGACACTTCCTTTCTCAAAGAAGAAAGGTAGTTTATTGTCAACTATCTCAAGCACATCTCTGCTCGTGTTCAGATCCTTCCGCTCCTACCCACCACACTTTAACTTCCACCTCACTCCCCAGTTTGTATGAAAGCTAAGCCTTGTCTCTGGATTTGGAACAATTAAAGGAAACCCTTCCTATTCTTTCTCAGAAGGCCTCATGGAAGCAGGCGCTTTCCATCTTCCAGAGGGTCTATCTCTTCAGTCTTCCAGGACCGCTTTGTCCAAGAGCTCCAACCCACATCCCATCCCATCCTCCAAGGCTTTGGGAAGAGTTCCTCCCCAACACTCACTTCTCTCTGCAAACCCCACTCTCTCCAGCACAGCCCACACCCTCAGCTACTATGCCTTGTTGCACCAACAACCTTTTTTCTAGCGTGACAGCTGCTCTTTCTGCTCTAATCCATCCTTCAAGTTGCTACCCATTATCATGGCTTAAATACACATTATCAGACATACTGCCAGCCCCAGGAGTTGCCCATGGCTTCCTCTCATGAAGCTGGCCACCACTGCCTTCATAGCTAAATGATGCCACTTCTCCCAGCTTTCCCTCACTACCTTTCATTTCCTGTTCATTTCCTTCCCTCGCCTTTGCTTTTGCTAGCCTCCCTTTCCAGGAAAGCCCTCTGTGCTCCCCTTTATTAATTCAAATGTAGCACCTTTTTCCAGACCAAGTGTATGCTGTACCCCCCTGAGAGGTCTTCCTTGGTTGAATCTTCCTCGATTTCCTGTTGCTTATATACCCTCAATATTTTGGATAAAATGACTGTTTGTCCCCAGATTATCATGCCTTTGCCTTTGACTCTGGTTGTTTTAAGCCTGAAGGTCCTGTCTCTGAAATTAAAATGTACAAGTCTTGGAGTCACAGGTGAAGCCTCATTTCAGTTTTTCCTGGGGTGCTGAAAACACGGCAGTCAGCCCCACCCAAGTGCAAGATGAACTCACCCAGAGTGGAGATCCAAAGCCGCTGAGTGATCCACTGCAGAACATCACCTCCTGCAAAACAGAGAAGTACCTGGTCATTGTCACAGCCCCCTGACCCGTGCCTCCTTCACACAGGTGCCTGACTGGTCTCCTCACTGCTCAGCTGGGAGTGTTTTGTTCCTCACCTACTTAAAGTCTTCTGAGATTCTCCACCTCCGTCATAAGCTCACACCAAACTCTGCAGCCCACCCATGCAGTCTGATTGCAGCAGATTTGCAGTTTAACCCCTCCACCGCTTTACCTTCTTTGTTGTACTTATGTTTCCCTATATAGTAATGTATGCATGGACCACCATTCATAAATGGCAACCACATGGCAAGCTGCTCGGGCTCTCACGTTAGTGACCTTCATTCCAGGAAGCCCCAGGACACCTGCCATCTGAGAAGGGATGGCCACTGCTGTCATTGGCGCTACCCGAGACCCCTCCCTGGGTTCTGTTTTTGTAGTAGATGGAATTCACCCATGCAGAAGAAAGAAGGGGAAACACGGCAGGGTGGGCAACCTCTCCCAAACCCAGAAACCATGTGTATTCCATGCCTGAGGCGGGAACGCAGCTGGCATACACGGACAGCAGACAAGCTGGGCTCTGGAGTCTAGAGCTTTGCTCAAATTCAAGCTCACTCATGAATGCTTCTAGTGACCTGGGGACAAGTTCTTGAACCTTACTGCATCTCCATGACCCCATCTGCAAAAAGAGGGTGGTCCTATCTACCCCTAACTGGACTGCAGGTGTTGAAGACAGCACAGGAAAGTGCCAGCCGTCACCTCCCACGCAGCGTCTGCTGCATGCCGGTCCCTGTGCAGCAGTGTCTCACAACATTCCTGCACTATTTCTCCTGGACAGGAATAAAATGAGAAAACGGAGGCTGGGGCTACCCAGCTAGAAAAGGGCAGCTGGAGGACTGAACCCCAGGGTGCCTGAGTCAGCGTCCAATGTTCTCTGCACAGTCTAGGCCAGGCCGATGCACACACTTCATAAACTGTTAGTATCCACCCCTATGCATCCAGCCACGCTGAGCTCCGGGATTACCCAGATGAGCAAGACAAGATACCTCCCCTTGAAGGGGAAATTATTCCCATAAGAGGCGGGGAGGGGTGGGAGTCAAAGACGTTTTCAAGAATTTCCCACAGTTGCCTCTTAAGTGATAGGAGAGAGCAGAGGCACCCTAAAAAGCTTGCTCATCAGCCTGTGATTTTTTGCTGCCTACTTTCCTCAGGTTTTCTTTCTCTTCCCTGAGCTGTCCTGCAGCATTCAGATTAGTGTCCCTTATTCCCCAAAAAGCCAGAGCTGATCTTCTGTCGCTGGTCCTCAAGGACACCTATGTGCTAGTGGTGCAGCCCCATCTTCCAAGGGGGTGGAGGCTGAGAGACAGCAGGCCGCTGCATGACCAGGGCGCCTGAGTCCAGTAGTGATAGGACGGAGGGTGCGGGTTCACAGTGAGCAAAGCACAGTGACCTGTCCCAGGCTTCTGTTTAGGGATGCTGTCTGCTTCTGTGTGGGTAACAGGACACCCACAATGCCTTCTTCTTCTGTTGGCGCCCATCCCTCCCTCTCTCCAGTATCCTCCAAGGGTGCTCTGCACACCTTCAACCCACGAGAAGAGGACCCCAGTGGCTGCACCCCCAGGGGTAGTTCAGAAGGGTCTGGGTATGAACTAGATGGTAAGGAAGGTAGCACAAGACAAAAGCCAATTTTCTTTCCTGCCAAATAGCACTTTTCCCCTGGTACCTGACTTTGTTAAAACAGACAAAAGAAGCAAGCAAAAATAGTAAAGATATCTAAAATAACCTTCTGGGAGGAATGATTCAGGTCACCTATTGAATCCCTTTCTCTTTCTTTTCTCACTCTTTCCTTGGAAGAAAAGTAGTTCAAGAACCAGCAAACATATTCCATAAAGGGCTAGACTGTAAAAGCTTTAGCTTTGTGGGTCGTGATTCAATCTCTGCACAACTATATATTTTAACTCTTTCAATTAGTGTAAAAGCAGCCATAAATACTACATAGTGGATGTGAAGGTACCCTGATAAAACTTTATTTGCAAATACAGGCTGTGGGCCAAATTTGGCTTGTGTGCCCATTTGTCAGTCCTTTTATGGGGTCCGTTCAAGGCCAAGACAAAGCTACGGGCCCCATCACCTGTCATGGCATGAGGGACACTGGTGACCAGGACCCTCTGGTTCTGCATTTTGACCCCAGTCTCCGGGTCCTGCATGTCCTTCACCAGTGCTTCAATCTGCAAAACAAAAAACAGAAAAAGCTTGGTTTTTATTCATGAACTCTCTGCCTACCCCTATGTCTTCAAGATTTTTACCTACTTTCTCTTCCAGTAGATTTAGTGTTTCTGTTTTAATATTTAGAGCTTTGATCCATTGCCCAAAGGAAGGAACAACTGGGATGAGGGAGAGAAGAAAAAGAAAGAAGCAAGGGAAAAAATATATATGTATATAGAAGGATAGCTGGGATAAGTGTACTGCTGATGTCTGGTGGTTTATTGAAAGGAACAGTCAATGCTTAATTTTTTTATTTTGATCAATTTTGCATGCTTTTATGTGGTAATCTGAGCAAGATAACAACCACTGGTGAATTCCTACCATCTTGTCTAGTGAAACTCTGTATCATCCCTAATTTTTTTAATTATTTTTTTTTTATTCTCTGTAATGGTTTGATCAATCTTGCATCCTTACATCTGATAATCTGAGCAACTTCGTTGAAAATAACAATATGTGATATAACAATCACTGTTAATTCCCATCGTTTTGTTTTGAAACACTGTATCATTTTTAGTGTTTTTGCTTTGTTTTGTTTTTGTCTGTGATGATGGTATTTTGCTATTTTTCCTTATTTTTGCTATTCTCTTTGGAATTAAAAAAAAAAAGCTCGCTGGTGGGAACTAGTTCAGAAGCTAGTGAGCTTTTCACAACACCACGTGAGATTCAGAGATGCAAAGGGAAACCGCAGGAGCTTCCCACTGGGTGCAGGAACAAGATGGACAGAGGACAGTAGGCCAGTGCACGACACATGTGCTTCGGCCTCACAGGCACCTCGCAGGTTGGGAGGGCTCAGAGGTCCATTTGACTTGGAGAGTCTGGAAACATTTGTAAGAGTGAATGGACCTTAACCAAAAAGGATTTTGCTGGACAGAAAGTGAGACACCATATGCAAAGGTGAGGAAGATGGAGTTATCAAAATAGAAAATGCAAAAGAAGGTCTAAGGTATAGTTCAGTACTAGAGCACTTGCCTCTAGTACTGAACCCATGCCCCAGGCCCTGGGCACTGGAAAAAAAAAAAAAAAAAGAAAGAAAAAAATGCCAAAGAAAAGCCTCCTTCTGGAAGCACACACTTCTGCTTTATCATGCAGACTCTAAGATGATGCTGAGATAGCTACAATGTCTTGTAGATGATGGGGAATGACTGCCCCAAGTTCAGAAGAGATAAGGGACAGAGACTTGAATGAGAGTTATAAATATCCAAGAAAGTGTTCAAGTCAAAAGGAGTTGATAAATTGCCCAAGGAAGATCGAATACATTGTACAGGGAGACAGCCACAAGGATGTTTCTAATTACCTTTGAAGTCATTTTAAAAATTTTAAATGCTAAAATATTTTCCAACCAGGCATGGTTGCACACACCCACAGTCCTAGCTACTTGGGAAGTTGAGGTAGGAAGATCACTTGAATCCAGGTATTTGAAACCAGCCTGAGCAACACAGTAAGACTTTGTCCAAAAAAAAAAAAAAAAGAAGGAAAGAGAGAAAGACAGAGAGAGAGAGAGAGAGAGAGAGAGAGAGAGAGAGAGAGAGAGAGAAAGAAAGAATCCACTTGAAAAAATTGAATGGAAATAAAATCCAGTGGAGGATATTTTAAAACAAATTAGATGTTTTACTCTACTTTTAAAAAATACCTTGGGTGTTTCTCTTACATTTGCTTGGGACTGACATTGACCAAGCCTCATGCACAGGTTCCAAATGCTACTTCCACCCTCCCAGCAAAGTCCCCACTAATGAGGAAATACGCTCTTGTTCCAGATGTGCTCGCCAATGGTCCACCAGTCCTACAGCTACCAGGTACATCCTGAGTAACTCCAAGAAGCCAGTGAGAAGCAGCTGTGGTCCCCAAAAGCTCGCTCATGGTCCCTCCATTCTCAGGGCTTCATTCCCAGACTCCAGCGGACGCCTGGAGCTATGGGCAGCACCAAACCCTATATGGACTGCAGCTTTACCTATCCAGCCACACTTATGATAAACTAATTTATAAATTAGACACAATAAAAAATCCAAAACATGAGTTAACAATAAAATAGAGCAATTCTAACACTATACTGTAATAAAAGTTAAGTAAAAATTCCTTTCCCCACTCTCAATATAGAATGTTCCATTTAGTACTTTTGGACCAAGGTTGATACAACTGTACCAGGAGGGGCTGACATGGGAAGCAGGGATGAAGGTGAGTTTCCACTATCATGGAAGCACAGTGCCCTTCTGTTCTGAATATGGCTGCAGTGGGGACCAAGCCATATTGGTCCCCAATATGGTGGTGGGTTGGGAAAGCAGTAACCTGATGGGAATCATACACAGCAGGAAGCAGGCAGCAGAGGAGAGCAGGATGGGTAGGGGTCTCCCAGGTGAGGGGCCACAGGAGCAGAAGCTCAGGACAGGGAGCAGCAAATGGGGACACAGGCCCTCCCTTGCCTTCCCAGGGTCCGATGCCCTCTCCTGAAGGCCGGTGCTGCACACAGCTGAGCAGACGCTCCACGCAGGCTGCACCTCAGACTCGCTCTGTCTGTATTCCAGCCATTATCAGAAGAAAAGCGGCTCCTCAACTTACCTCCATTTAGCTAACTTGGTTACATCGTCATTATTCTCCTGCCATTTAATAAAATCACACCCTCAGCATGGTGGGGCTTGTTACAGAAATGAAAGTCTTTTTACAGCTTGAAGGTATTTGCAGCCAGAAGAAAAGGACCCCAGGTTCCCACGACCTCCATGGGGTTTCCTTTCTCTGCTAACTGAAGAATCTGAGGCAACTCATTTAACCCCTCAGAAATTCCTTCCTGTGCCATAAAATGGGGACCACAATATTAGAGGCCCTAATCACCGGTAAGGTTTTGCAATCTCTTCGACTCTAATTATGTAACTGTGTAAGATTGCTTTTGTTATGATTTGTATTTGGAACATCCCTGGCCCAAAGGCTCATGTCGAAGGCTTGGTCCCCAGTGCAGCCATATTCAGAATAGAAGCTTTTGGAAGGTGATTGGATCACGAAGGCTGTAATTTAATCAGTGGATTAATCCACTAATGGACTAATAATTTGATGGCATTATGATGACATGAAGGGAGTGGGATATGGGAATACATCCTTGAGGATTATATTTTGTCCCCAGCTCCATGCTTTGTTTTATCACGTGCTTCCGCATGACGTCTTCCCCATCCATGGGCCCAGAAGCAACAGAGCCAAGCAACCATGGACTAAAACCTCGGAAACTGTGAACCATAGTAAACGTCCTCCTTTTGGCTGAGCTGCTCAGATATTTTTATCACAGCAATGAAAAGCTAACACATGCTTCATAAGGAAAGATTACATTCTACATGCATAAAGATATACAGGTTGGTTATCCCTTATTCTAAATGTCAGGGACTAGAAGTATTGTGGATTTTAGACTTTTTAATTTTAGAATATTTGTATATACATAAGATAACTTAGGGATGGGACTCAAGCAAATGCTAACGTGAAAATTCACTTAACTGCATATACACCCCACTGCATATGCATCTCATACCCATAGCGTGGAGGTAACTTTATACAATATTTCAAATAATTTTGTGCATGAAACAAAGTTTGATGGTGTGGACATTTCTACTTGTAGTGTCCTGTTGTGCTCAAAACGTTTCAGAATTTACAACATTCTAGACTTTGAATTTTTGATTAAGCATAGTCAATCTGTACAAGCATAAAAATACATATTTCATAAGAAAGCACATGACTTAGCCATTATACTTATTAGTAGTAGTAGTGGGCCAGGTACAGTGGCTCAGGCCTGGAATGCTAGTTACTTGGGAGGATGGCCAGTTCAAAGACACCCTGAGCAATTTAACAAGACCCTACATCAAAATAATAATAATAATAGTAATAATACTATTAGTAAAATTCAGACAATGAATGCATTTTTGAAACAGCATGCAGAGCTGTATTTAGAGGCCCAGGAATAAAAACTCAGTTTTGCTACCCAAACAAATGTAGGTATTTTTTTTGTTTGTTTGTTTTTTGTTTTTCTCCTGTACCGGGAACCGAACTCACGACCTTGTGCTTGCCAGGCAGGTGCTTTGCCGCTGAGCTAAATCCCCCGCCCCCAAATGTAGGTATTTGTTGAGCATATGTTAAGTGTCCAGCACTGTGTGGGACACAACACAATAAGAGATACTCACAGTTTTTGTAGAGTTGAAAAAAATATAAGAAAAGAAAGAGAGCTGAGCACAGCGGCCCATACCTGTAGTCTCAGCACTCAGAAGACTGAGGCGGGAGGATCATTTGAACTCAGGAATTCAAGGCCAGCATGGACAACATAGCAAGACGCATCTCAAAAACAAATAAGCTGGGTGTGGTGTCACACGCCTGTAATCCAAACACTCTGGGAGGCTGAGGCAGACAGGAGGGTTACAATCTGAGCCCAGTCTGGCAAGACTCTGTCACAAAATAAATCAAAATGACTGAGGATGTAGGTCAGTGTGAAGGCCCTGGATTCAGCCCTCAGTACAATGATGATGATGATGATGATGATACAATAATAACAAATAAACAGGTAACTAATGTAAAGGCAAGAGGTCTGGGTGCAGAAAAAGCCCAGTTCAAATCCTTACACTAATTTAGAAGCTAGAAGCCTTCGGTAAATTGCTAAACATCATTTAGACTCGTTTCTCTGTACAATGGAGATTATATTATCACCTACATCATCATGCAAACATTGCGAAGGTTAAATGAGATTAAGCACGTACAGCACTTAGGTTCAAGCTCTGCATAAAGTAAGTGTTTAGAGGTAGCGATTACAGATTGGATTATTTGAGGTATGATTGAAAAATACAGTGAATAGTTAAACTTTTAAAAATTTAGGACAGGCCAGGTGTGGTAACACATGCCTGTAATCTCAGCACTCAGGAGGCTGAGGCAGGAGGATCATCATGAGTTTGAGGCCAGCCTGGGCTACATAGTGAGTTCAAGGCCAGCCTGAACTACATAGAC